CTCGTCTCGATAGGTCAAATCAAACGGCCTGGGGCTAGGTGACTAGGTAGGTATGTAGGTAGCTTCGAGCTCATCTTCGGCCGCCACCTCCTCTGGCGCCCCCCGGCGGGTCGACTTTTGCGGACAGGAGCAGACGAATAGCCGCAGAATCACACGCTGTCCCCTGCTCGGCCTTGACCTTGACCTTGTCCCCTGGAGCTTTCTTCGTCTTCGTCTTCGTCTTCGTCTTTTGGCTTCGCGTCGCCCTCGTCGCCTTCTGGGTTTTCCTCCCAGCCCTTTTCCCCGGCCAAGTTTAGCCCCTTGGCAGGCAGGAAGAAGAAACAAGAAAAAACACCAAGAGGCAGAGTCAAGATAGCCACAGACAGGACAGGACAGGACAGCAGCAGGAGGATACGGGCAGCAGAAGGCCTTCCCCGCCGGTCGATAGATAGATAGGATACAGGTCGCCGTCGCAGCAGACAGTCGCTCGTTATATTGTTATTTTAGCTGCCCGGACGCTGCGAGAACCATGCGCGGCGCTGGCAAGATCCGGCAGCGGGCTTAGCAGGACGTCTTGATTCTCGAACCCCCTTTTCAACGGGACAGCCGCGAGGACGAGGACGAGCAGCAGGAGCAGCGAGGCATTACATGGCAGCACAGGGGGAGTCGACGGTGCGGTCGCATCGGTCGACGCCCCGGGGAGGTTCTCCTAGGCTGAAACCAGACTTGAAGCTGCTGGAGCCGCCGCTGTCGAGACGCAGGTCGGCCCAGTCGGTCTCTGCAGCAAGCCAGTCGGACGAGCAGAGGTCGATATACCAGCGACTGGGCTCGAGGCACGGCCAATCCTCCAAGAGCTACTCGCCGCACAGCCAGAGATCGATACCGCGGACCCCGGGTTCGGGGCAGTTGGCCGTCCGTTCGGTTCCAGGTACGGTGGAAAATTATGATCAAACTAAGCAATTGAAGACGGGCTCTTGCTAACAGCTCCATTATACAGCTTGGGTTAAGCACGCGGACGACGATGACGACGATGAAATAGAGGAGCCGCGGACGCGGCCGCAGTCGAGGTCGCCGGCACAGCCACAGCCACAGTCGCCGTCACAGTCACATTCACAGTCAACGGCATTACCGGTGCTGCCAGGAGACGCCCATGTTGCGAGCCATCACTACCTACCCAAGTCGAAAGACTTCGCACTCGACAGCGCGGCCGGAAGAGCCAGAGATATAGAGAAGGGCGAAGGAGAAAGGCCGGAGAGCAACCGCTCCTACACGCAGTATACGCAGCAGTCGAGATGGAAGACGTTTACCATGCCCGTGCCGCAGCGTCGAGAAACGACACAGCAACAGAACAGGGTAGTCGACGCAGACTGGCTCAACCAGAATTTCGGCGACTACTCCGATCCATGGCACGGATACATCGACGAAAAGGCTGAAGCGAGCTCCCGGCAGTCGGGGACGTTCATCCAGCGGCGGAAGAAATGGATGAAGGGCTTCCAGTACAAGATACTGCACAGTCCCATGGTGCCTCTCATCATCCGTCTTACCGTCTTCATCTTCTCGGCCGTTGCCCTCTCGCTGGGAGCGTCAATACGACAGCTCTCGACCACACACAGTAGTCCCCAGGGCCCGTCTCGGATCCCACATCATCTTCGATGCAATTGCACTTGTTTACCTGGTCTATATCACGTATGATGAATACACCGGAAAGCCACTTGGTCTCCGGTCAGCTACGGCAAAGATACGGCTTATCTTCCTTGACCTGGTGTTTATCGTCTTTGCGTCCGCAAACCTCAGTTTAGCGTTTGCTTCTCTGTCCGATGTCAATGGCACATGCACCAGCGGAGGCACGGACGACTCTGCCAATGCCAGGATAGACAAGATCTGTGATAACCAGAAGGTGTTAGCTGCTGTCTTACTGGTTGTACTGGTTGCCTGGCTCATGACATTTATGATAAGTGCTCTACGGTATGTCTCCTCCTATCCCTATTCTGCTATATCTCCCATTGCTAACATCTTTTCCCAGGGTCATCGAGCGAGTGGCAGCCAAGTGAAGAAAGACCTTTACTCCCATCATCCACACCATCATTACCATACAATACCCTTATCTCCTTTATTACTACTATTACCACCACCACCACTACTACTACTATTATAGTCACTATGCTGCATGTTGCCACATGTTTTTCTATTACCTCTACATACCTCCCTCGCTCTATTACCATTGTTTCCCCTTGTTTGTTTGTTTTTGCATCTATCGCTGGAATATCTGTTTTGTTTTTACTATTGCTTGCTTCATTGTGTTACACGGTTGGGAAGACGGTTTACTGGGCCCGGTGTCAAATAATCATTTCCCCGTTTTGCCCAGTCATTTTGCATTTGCTTTCCTTTTTCCTTTTGGATGCATCCATCAGCTGTTCTTTTTTTTTACTACACAAAATCATAGTATACATTTTAGTCGTTTTTGTCCCCTCCGTCTGCGTCTTTTTGTTAAACAGCGAGTACAGGGCCCGAGTCACCGTATATAGGATCCCTATCAAACCAGCCAACAGACTGTATTATAGGCTTCTCCTTGCCAACCTCTTCCTCCCCATAGCACATATTCCACTGTATTCCGGGCGGATACGCCCCTACCATCGCAAAGTCACCTCTCGTGTCTTCAAGCAGGCAGTGTCCCACTCCAGCAGGCACCACGATAACGTCTCCCTTTGACACGGTCGTCTCAAACCTGTCCGGGTTCTCTTCGTGGCCAAAGCAGAGCTTCGCCTGCCCGGTCACAACACTGAGTACTTCGTGTGTGTTCGAGTGAAAGTGGTTTGCAGGGTACATCGAGTACGTCCACTGCGGGACTACTGCTCCAACTGCCTCCAGGTGCTCGCTGACAGTCTCGGACGTGGCAGAGTTATCAAAGACAGACTGGTAGATGAGCAGCGGCTTCGACTGGATCGAGGTGTTCGGGAAGTTTCCCCAGGCTGGGATCTGGCGCTCCGTGACCTGCAGCTCCTCCAGTGGCCTGACCATCTTCGTCTTCGCGTCTCAACGTAATATATATAGTTATAGTATATTAACTGCACAATAGAAGAAGTCTTCCATCCTGTCCTCCCTTTTTGTCCTCTCTTTTCTTCTTCCGTCATCGTCTTCTGACGTCTTCGTCTCGTCTTCTTCGCCTTAAAAGCAAAAACCGACGTCATCTTCTTATCGATAAGCTGCCGCCCCCAACTTGTATTATGTAAGCGGTAGCCTGTCCTTCGCCTTTCGCTTTCTTCGTCTTCTGCTTCTTCCTCGTCGCCTTCAACAACCAGCAACCAACTTCTAGCACATATCAGAGACTGTCTCGGCTGGTCAGAAGCGCTCTATCTCGTCCTGAGGCTGTGTTCGGTGTCCTCGAGAAGGAGAGCCAGCGGTCGACAAGCTGCGTGTCTCGTCTGACAGATTCTGCGGGCGGCTGTACCCTCCGACAACGCTTCAGTCGCTTGCCTCTCTCTCTCCCCCTAAGACGCCTGCCCGCCACGGTAGCCGCCCAGTTGGCCCTCGAGAGTGACCCTTCTGCTTGCAGCTCATTCTAGGCTATATCTTGCCTCTTAGACGCGCCTACGGCATCGGCAGATATGCCTCCCACCAGATTCACGACGCCTCATCGAGATGACCTGGACGAAACGTGAGTTTTGAGAGCATCCTTGAGGATTGCGGTGAATGCGTTGGCTGATCTTATCCTGCTTTAGATGGACCTTTCTCGAACAGGGAATCGAGAGGGTGATGACTGACCTGAACAGTGGTATTGACATGGCTTCTGTAAGACTCACCAGCTCAGGGGGCGGGACAGGGTGTATTCCTATGTTTTACATGCAGCCGCTAATATGACTATTCTTTTTTCCTCTAGTATATGGGTGTTTACACGTTGGTCCCTCCCCATATTACACCCTCGATAGCCAGAGAGAGTCAAGATATTAACCAGCAGGAACAGTGCCGTTCACAACTTCTGTACCTCACAAAAGGCGTTCACTAGCCACACTACATCCGCTCATGGCACGCGAGGAGGTAAGTTAATAGCTTCTAGGCAGAAACCAACAACGAAGCAAAGCTGACAATATAGTCACAGCACACCTGCTCGGTGAAGAGCTCTACAACCTTCTAGGACACTATCTCTCCCGTCATCTTGGAGGGGTCTATGAGGCCTCCCTTCACCACTCTGACGAACCCCTCCTTTCATTTTACATCAGAGAATGGACTCGCTACACCACAGCCGCCAAATATATTAACCATCTTTTCAGATACCTAAACCGCCACTGGGTGAAACGAGAAGTCGACGAAGGCAAGAAGGACATCTACGATGTGTACACTCTTCACCTCGTCAGATGGAAGGAGGACTTCTTCAGACTCGTCCACGAGAACGTCATGAGCGCCGTGCTGGGCCTTATCGAGAAGCAACGTAACGGCGAGACTATCGAGCAGTCCCAGATAAAGCACATTGTTGACTCGTTTGTCTCCCTTGGTCTGGACGAGAATGATACTTCCAAGTCGACCCTGGTTGTCTACCAGTACTACTTTGAGAAACCGTTCATCGAGGCCACCAGAGTCTACTATGACAGAGAGTCAAAGCGTTTCGTCGCCGAAAACAGCGTCGTTGAGTACATGAAGAAGGCAGAGCTTAGGCTAGAGGAAGAACGTGCTCGTATCGATCTATACCTCCACCCAGATGTCACCAAGAATTTGACGGATACCTGCTTGGACGTGCTAGTTACTTCGCATTGTAACCTTATACGGGACGAGTTCCAACCCCTCTTGGATGCTGAACGGCAAGATGATCTTGCTAGAATGTACCGACTGTTGTCAAAGATCAAGGACGGCCTGGACCCACTGAGAAACAGATTCGAGACCCACGTCAGAAAGGCTGGTCTGTCCGCAATCTCGAAGGTAGCTTCCGCTGGAAGCGAAGGCGTTGACCCAAAGGTTTATGTCGACTCTCTACTCCAGGTACATGGGAAGTACAGATCTATGGTAGACGAAGCCTTTGCTGGAGAAACGGAGTTTGTTCGGTCTTTGGATAATGCTTGCCGCGAGTTCGTTAACCGCAATGCTCTCTGCACCACCAGCTCAACCAAATCCCCTGAGCTGCTGGCAAGATATACCGACTCCCTTCTGAAGAAGGGCTCCAAGTCTTCTGAAGAATCAGAGCTTGAGGAGCTTCTTGTCCAGATCATGACCGTCTTTAAATATATCGAAGACAAGGATGTCTTCCAAAAGTTCTACTCTCGAATGCTCGCCAAACGTCTCGTTCACGTCAGCTCTGTCTCTGACGATGCTGAAACAAGCATGATCAGCAAGTTGAAGGAAGCTTGTGGTTTTGAGTACACCAACAAGCTCCAGCGAATGTTCCAGGATATCCAGATCTCAAAGGATCTAAACACCAACTACCGCGAGTGGCAGGAGAGAACCTTTGATGAAGAAGACCGCAAGAAAATGGTCGACCCTCACTTCCAGATCCTTGGTACAGGCTTCTGGCCTCTTAACCCTCCCTCAACACAGTTCATCCCTCCCCAGGTCATCAACAAGACGGTCGAACGCTTCAAGTCGTTCTACTTTGATAAGCACAGCGGCCGTAAGTTGACTTGGCTCTGGCAGCTATGCAAGGGCGAAATCAAAGCAAACTATGTCAAGAACACAAAAGTCCCCTACACATTCCAGGTGTCGACCTATCAAATGGGCATTCTTCTCTTATACAACGACAGCGATAACTTTGAATACTCTGAGATTGAGAAGGCCACCGCACTCTCCCCGGATGTCCTAGACCCCAACCTTGGCATCTTTGTCAAGGCAAAGGTTCTTATTCCTTCTCCAGAAAATGCAAAGCCTGGTCCAGGGACTTCCTATGCACTGAACTACCACTTTAAAGCAAAGAAGATCAAGGTCAACTTGAACATCCAAGTCAAGTCTGAGCAGAAACACGAGGCTGAAGACACTCACAAGACTGTCGAGGAGGACAGAAAATTAGTTCTCCAGGTGAGAATAACATTTACAACCCTCTTTCTTATATTTTCATTTCTAACCTTTCCTCTAGTCCGCCATTGTGCGTATCATGAAGTCCCGCAAGCGCATGAAGCACGTCCAGCTTGTACAGGAAGTCATCCAGCAAGTCAACGCTCGATTCCCACCCAAAGTCTCCGATATCAAGAAAAATATCGAAGGCTTGATGGAGAAAGAATACATCGAGCGTCTGGATGGCGATGAAATATCGTACATTGCTTAATTTAACAATCGACCAACCAGCCACCAACCACAACCACAAAACCGCCGTCAAAGTGCATCATCAAAAATGACATAAAATATCCTTCCTATGCGCAACATACTCTGGTCTACACTCCCTCTCCTCCCATCCTTGTATTATACATACAGGTGGTTTTCTGTTATTGCTCTTTTGGCAGCGGGCGGAATCATAAAATGGGGTTGACTGGCGGAGGGAGTTCCCTACTAGACCGTTTTGCTACTGCGCAGAACCCACATACATATGTATACATCTTACTCCTACTCCTCCTGCTAATTGCCCTTTCACTCTCCCCTTTAACTTCCTCCTCTTCTTCTTTGAGCTCTTCTCCCTACGCATGACCTATCTGTCCTTTGCACTTAGCGAGCAGTCAGCCATTTCACACCAGATTACGTCTGAATTAGTTATGCGTGCTCTAGAGTACAAAATAAACAAACCTCTCTATAATTCTTTCTTATCTAAACACACTGTAGTGGTGGTAGTAATATTGGTATAAAAGAGAGAGCTATTTATTCAAAAAATGCAATGTATTAAGCAACGCTAATATCAAACAAGCTACCTATCCAATATGTGCTCTGAGAAAACCAAGGAAGAATATATATATCCATTTAAATCAACAAATATAATATGTGTATGAATCATCCCAAGGTATTTGTAGAACTTTTACCCACTTCATGAGAAGACGAAGATAGAGGATCACTCTCTAATAGAGCATCTATATGATCCTTCTCCATCAAGTGATCGCTGCTCTGAGGCCTAGAAGACCCCGGGCGATCAACATCTTCCTTTGCCCTCATATCTTCCATCTCCCTCATCTCAGTCATGGCGGGGGCCTTGATGCTGTCTCCAATTGACCGCCTCTCGTTACGGGTACTTGTCATCGACGCTCTGGGCGTTCCGGTGGCTGTCGGAGATGAAACGGGGCTCGCACCCGTACTCGTGTTCTTTGTCTGCCACTCCTTTCGACGCTCATTAGCCCATGAACCCCACGAACTAAAGTACGCGGAAGCTCGCTGGCCTGCCGCGGAAACGGTGGCTTGGGCCTGCGTCAGATCTACGGCAGGGGCTTTGCGTGCAGGAAACGACCAGCCAGACGTTGATGGAGTAGGTGAGTTTGGGGGCGGAGAAGCCGGGCCTGAGGACGCCGACGATGTTTCTTGTTTGCTGTGATCGGATTGGCTTGTATCCAGCGGCGCTGCTTGCTGTTTTGCCCTTTCTTCGTTGCGTTTCCTTTGAGCTTCCCGTCTTGCTTCGAGCTCCGCCCAGAGAGAGTTGAACGCTGTCGTGACCTTTTGATGGCCCGTGGCAAGATGTTTGTTAAGCGTTTCGCGACCTTCGCGTACTCGCTCGTCGAGATGTAGATCTGCAACTTGCTGCGCCAGGCGCCGTTGGATGTCTTCGATGCCTAGACCTCCTGCACACGGGTGGCGTGGCTCGACTACGGAGAAGAGAAGGGCGTCTGATGTGAGTTTGTCGAAGAGGGCGAAGTTAGGGGTATGCCGCCAGTGTTCGATGAAGTCGAGGTTGCAAGTTGACGGGGATCGCCTTCGATGTCATTTGCAGGCTGTTTCGCCGCGCCTCCCGTAGCTACCTCATCGTGGTATTTTACACATGAGATCAGAGCTAGGAGGTATTCCTCGAACTGGAGACGGATGAACTCTTCAGACCCCATGTATCCATGAGTCTTTGGTCGTGCAGGATGTGCTTCATCCCAGGTATCATTTATTGTCTGAGTGAGGAAATCGATCCATCGACGATCTGCAGCAGAAAGAGCCAGTGCCGCTCGTAGAGATGGAGATGATATGTTCACCGTATCTTCGTCAAGCTATACGCTTCAAGTCAGCAATGCAGCCAAGTCAAGGGACAATTCCTGGAAAATAGTTACGTTTATTAAGATATCACTATATCGGTCCTTTTGCTGCAAGAGTAGCGAGTTAGTCGAGCCAACGAGATACGATTTGGTACCATAATCAGCAAGCAGATCTAGCTGTTGAAGCGGCGTATACGGTCCAAACATGCTCCCTTTGCCAAATATTTGAAGTGGAAGCCCCATATATGCGAGTACTAAGGAATCAATCATCTATTCCCCCTTTCAATGCAGGCATGGCTGACTTACGAGAACTTCTCTCGCTGGTTTTGAGCGAGCTCGGTTTTTCAACCGTCTGCGCATAAGTATCATACGACGGATCAGCGCAGTCCTGAAGATTATGTATAAGGCCGGGTATCAATGAAATTAATGAGAACTGTATCATGCATAAACGCTCGCATCTAGAACCAAAAAAGAGCATCTAAGGGGGAGTTAGTCGCAACTGTTTGTCTTTGATAATAGGCGGCGGTGACATGCATACCTTTGGCTGTAGTAATAAACATTTAAACAAAACTAGAGTCTGGTGCTTGAATTCGTGTATCATCTCACGTAAAGAAAGGCCAAAATGCTCGTCTTTGTGCAGGTCTTCATTTTTCAAACTGATCTTCAATCCTTCCCAGAATTTCTACCCGTATATTAGCACATTACTTTGTCGATATCCTGGTGTCTTCATACCTGGAGAATATCCGTATCCGTGAAGTCACTATAATCAGGTCAGTATTCGTCCAATATTGATCTGGTGGTGACAAGCCTACCGCTGAGCAAACCACGCAGAGGTGACTATCGACAGCTTCTCCCTCAGCTGCCCCAGATGTCGAGGCTCGTTGATGATAGCCACCACCGCCTTCTGCACCGTCGATCGCGTCACCTCCGGCGGTCGATTGATCAACTTATCCGAGTCGAGCTGGGTGGTGCATGCTATGCCGAACAGGGAGGTAGCAGGCGTATTCTCGGTCTCCTTGCACTGCAGAGTGAAATAGGAGAAGTCTTCCGTGGACCTAAATACAGATGCATCCACGTCAGCACCAGAACGATAAAGCCCGCTGATCCTCGAGGCCTTCTCTCTTCTCTTTTATCATCTTGTCTCACTAGCCAGCTAGCCACAGCAAGAGGTCAAGGTGTTGGGTGTTCCGTACGCATGAGCTCCGTCCGACAGCGCCATGAACGGCAGCAGCGCCCAGTCATTCTTCTTCACGGGATCAACGCCATCGTCGCAGAACCAGAACTCGACCTCGGGGCCTCTGTAGAGTGTAGAATAGTTAGCATAGTGCTCTTCGTAGGGGCTGGGATAGTTACTGTCGCATAGCTAGAGAGCTACCGTAGCCGGCGGGGACAAAGTGGGTGTTGGTTCACCTTGCATGGTGGAAATCGACCACGAGCACGATGGGCTCCTGGTGGGCTTTGCCGCTGCCCATGTCACAGCTTCATTGAAAGCAGACGGTGTAGGAATAATTAATTAGCTGATGGGAGACCGGACGAGAGGCTGGTCTCTTCGGCTTCGACTTTTCTTCACCAACCCCGGTCTGTTCGTCCGTCCAAGCTTTGATATCCTATCGGGCGGTGCGGAGGGAGATTTTCCACCTCCGGCGTGATGGACTCGGCGGCTTTCTTGCATTTTATGCATAACTAAAGACCAGGATCGCGACAAGGATGAGGCGGGGGATGGCAAAGGCGCATCCTTTGAAGATGTCTAGCAGCCTACTGTGTTGTTACTGTTCTTTACTTATACGAAACCCATCCTAACGACAGAATATCGAGCTAGGTAACTAGTGAATCCACGAGCACTGGAGATTAACTCGCCCATGTTGGCTAACCTGTCACTCGATGGCTGGTTAACTGGCTATATAACTTGTTATATCATTTCACTACTGGGTCCTGAATCTATGCGTATCCAAGCAATTCCGGGCATCAATTGCTACTTTCTCCTTGGTCTCTGTCACGCCTGGCTTTATCACGAGAGTACGCATGTAAGTATCCCAGGGTAAACACCAGATTAAACGCCCTTCTCCATGTACTATTGTATCTAGGCACTCCAGCCTTATGGGTAGCAGTAATCTCCCTCTATCTTGTTCTCAAACACGCTGGATCTTGTTGGAAGTTACATAGTCATGGTACCTTTGTCGTCAGACCCCATAGTACTATCCTATCTAGAAACCTTGACATGGTATGCCATACCTAGTAGTTATCATAGCAAGGATACTTGGAAGATTACATAGTTACAGCGAGGTAGAGAGTACCGTCTATCACAAGGCATGGTCCAGCATAGACATAGATGTATGTTTTTAGATGTAGACAAGAGCAGACGCCCTAGACGCCCTAGACGCAGCCCGCTAGGCGACAGCGACAGTGACGTCAAGGCCCCGTCCAACTGCTCCGCAGCCATGATGATTTCCAATAATAACACCCCCTAACTTGCTGCCTTACCGCCCAACACAGGTGCAGCCTTTATGCCTCCCTAGTACGCCTCGAGAGATAGCCAGGTACCTAGCTCGTCTCTAGCCTTCAATGCCTCCCGCCATGCATAAATACCGAAGCCATCTTGTTCAGCCCAGCCAGCCAAGTCCTAGTCCACGTTGAAGACAAGACGAGACGAGACAAGTCAGGCGAAGGTGAAGGTGGGAGGACAAGGCATCTTTTCTCGTTTGCGTTCGTTTGACATATAATGGTTTTCTATTAAGTATTACTATTAACTTTTTCTTTTGCCCGATAGCTAGCTAGCTAGTGTACCGGTTCAGCATCTGTTTCTACTGTATGCGGTATGCGAGCAAACGGATATAGAGTTACCGTGCCGTGAACATGTGCGGGAGGCAGCCTGGTTGAACAAGGTAGCAAGGGTAAGGGCAAGGGAAGATAGATGCACATGATAGATGATTGAAAGGGCGTAGGCGCAGGTAAAGGGGGAATAAGATGGGGAAAAAAGGAATTTTTAACATAAAGCCACACGGTAAGTAACGTAACTTAGTTAGCCCAGGGGAAACGAACGAAGAACAAACATGCGGAGCCGAAGCATAGAGGTAGTTGATGTAGCTCGGGGAAGAGAAAAAAGGAAAATCATGAAGAGGAAAAAAAGAAAAAAGGGATCAAATCAAGGTATGTATGCACAAGAAAGAATAAGAGTGTTAAGGTTGGTATACGGTGTACTCCGTTGTACATAGACTGGCTGGTTGGTATGTAGATAGGTAGGTAAAGTAGGGTTGGTAGGCGAGTGTCGGGGACATGCCGTTGCTTGTTAGCATGCATCTCGCCTTGTGTCATCTCTTGTCAGATGAATGTATACGGGAGGTATGTATACAGTTATGTTGGTTGTAGGTATGGTATGGTATGGTATGAATGGACATGTTAAGCAAGTTATTTCCTTCCGCATCCCATCCGTCCAGTCAGCCAGCTCAGTTCCAGTGAGTTCAGTTCAGTCCAGGCAGGCAGGCCAGTCAGTCGTTCAGTCAGCCACCCAGCCCTATGTAGTTAAGAAACGTAACTCCCAACATCTTTCCCCCGTCATTCCCGTTCCCGTTCCCAAGGTTGACTTGACCCTTATCCATCGATTCAAAAGAAGAAAAAACAACAAAAGAGAGCAGAACAGAGAAATAAAACAACAAGTGTAGATGGACATCAGATAAAACATGGACAGACAATAAAAAGCATAAGACATTAAGACCGTGCCGGCAAAGAGGGCGTAGAGAGAACTCGTGTAGATATGTATAAGAGCGGAAACAAACAAGGTATCTTCCGTAGTAACTAAGGACTGCGTAAGGGAACGGCTTGCTACCTGTGGGTAAAATATTAACAGTTTCAAAAAAAGGGGACGAGTCGTATAGCGCGGGAGCAACGCCAATTGTGATTCTGATTCTGATTCTGACTCTGATTCTGAATCGTGGTCGGGGACCGGGTCGGGGTCAAGGTCGGGGTCTGTTTCTGCTGGCTTCTTGCTTCGACGTTTGGTGCTGGTGGTGCTGGGTGCTGGTTGCTGGATGCTGGACGTCAGGCGGACTGGCGGGCTAGCTAGGCTGGCCGCACGATCACAAACATGATGAAACGATCGCCTCTAGTCGCCGCCTAGTTACCTCTCATTTGTTTTTTTTTACCTGTTTTTCTTTTTTTTTTATTTCTTTTCTTCTGCTCTCCCACGCATCATTTTTGTTTTTGCTTCGTTTATTTATCTTCATGCTTCGGCGTCTTTTTGTTTGCCTGTTATCCTGTGCTGTTCTTTTTTATTTTTTTTTGGCTTCTATTAGACGGTTATTTCTCCCATCACGTTGCGTTTTTTGCTTTTCTCATTTAGAGTGTTCTCACTTTTTTTCCCTCCCAATTAACAATAATTAATAGCGTAGATGCACCCAGAGCATCATTGCTGATGGGAGACTGGGGCGGTGGCTGCCATATCTATTGAGGGAGGCTGGGGCTCGGTGTACTCCTGTGAAACCTGGTCGACGTTATGATAGTCGAGAATCTCAGAGTACCTAGACAAGTCAGTGTTAACTGTCCAGCAGTAGAGAAGGGGATAAAGGATGTTTGGTTATTGTAGTGCGTCAAAATGGTATTCGGGGGGTATTTATGGTAATGGTAATTGTAGTGGCACTTGCGGTTCTTGTGGTATTTGTGATTGTTGCTGCTGCTGCTGCTGCTGTACTTGCTGTGAGGGTATTTGCAGTGATATTGGGGGTATTTGTAGAGTTAAGAAGGGATTTGTGGAGATCGTGTTTCTGGTGATGATAGGGGGGAAGAAGGGCAAGGAAAGCTCCTCATACATCATGATCTTCCAGCTATCGACGGGGAGCTCGGCATCGTTGAAGGACCAGTCGAAGCGTTCGCCGGCCTCGGGCTCATCAGTAGGGTCGTGGTAGGGAGCCAGATATTCGTGGGTCAAAGCTTGGACGGCGCTGGTGCGTGCTCTGGGGTCAAAGACGAGCATTTTCTCAATAAGATCGACAGCTAGGGAGAAGTTAGCCTTGCCTTCTTCTTTTTATGTTTTATTTGGTCCTCCTGTGGCCATAAGCCATGGCTAACAGGGCAGAAACGGGAGGTGTGAAGGTAAGATAGCTAGGTACCGAGCGGGTCTGCGTCCTTGAATTTTTCACTGAGTGGCTGCCGTTCTCGCTTCGGAAGAGACTGGACGAATTGCAGCGTCTGCTTAAGTTAGTCTAGAACTCCGAGAAAGAAAGAAAAAGAAATAGACCAGAAATAGCAGTAGAAACAATAGTAGTAATATTAGTAGTAAGAGTGATAGCATTAGTGGTGGTGAACGTACGTTGGCAGAGCCGATGGTCTGGATGACCTCGTCTGGCGGGGTTCCGAGCAGCTCTGTGATGATAGAGAACTGGTTGACATGATCCTTGCCCGGGAAGAGCGGCCTGCCGGTCAACATCTCGGCGAAGATGCACCCCGCACTCCAGACATCGACCTCGACATCGTACTTTTGCCATGTCAGCATGATCTCGGGGGCGCGGTAGTACCGTGTCGAGACGTAGCCGGTCATCTGGGGGTCCTGGACACGGGCGAGGCCAAAGTCGCAGATCTTGAGATCGCAGTTTTCGTTGATGAGGATGTTGCTTGGTTTGAGGTCGCGGTGGACGACTCCGGCGGAATGTACATATTTCAGGCCTCTCTGGTGAGATGTTAGTATCTACAACTTCGTGCCTGGATAAGAGAAGGACGTACGAGGATCTGGTAGAGGAAGTACTGGATGAACTGCTTTTCTAGGGGTCGGGAGGTGAGTAGTCTGTGAAGGTCTGTTCCCAGCAGCTCTGTGACGAAGTATCTGGCAGCCAGCGAGTCAGTAGACGGCGCTTGAATCAATGAGGGGTCGAGATAAGCATACATATCTTCAAGCGGTGAGATGAATATATCGCTTAGACTGATGACCTGTAGGATGGTCAGTATATATATATATATATATATATATAGGGTAGATGTGTATGCGGGGAGACGAACGTTCTCGTGCCGCAGGTGCTTGAGCAGCTTGAGCTCTCGATAAGTCCGCTTGGCCAGCACCGGCGTGCTGAACGGCTTCATGATCTTCTTGACGGCGACGGCCTGGTTTGTCAATTGGTCTTTGGCGGAGCTGTGCCGTCCATTAGTCCGTATAACGGTATATATCAGGCATGAGATGTGAGAATATCCTACCAGACAAGGCCAAAGGCTCCCATGCCCACCGGCTGCAGGTCAGAGTACCTATCCAAGTCAGTCTCTTCTTCTCTTTTTCCTTCTTCTTTTATTCTCTTATGAAGACGCCGTACCTGGTGGTGATTTCGAAGGTGGTGCCGAATATCTGGGCGCGAACGAACTCCGCCATGGTGAAGACAGGCCCGAAGCACGCTGACTATCGTAATAGTAGAAGTAAAGAAAAAAAAAAGAAGAAGTAGATGCTGTATCGTCTCTCGCAGGTGTCGATGCCTGTGGCTGTCGCTGTGGCTGTCGCTGTGCGTGCGGTGGAAGATGGGAAAAAAGCTGGAAGTGGAGGAGGAGGAAAGGGAAGGAGGACGGACTTGGGTGGTGAGGGGCGGGACGGTCACTTCCACGACCTGCGACTAACAAGCACGACTAAGCAGGGCAACCCCAAGCAATATCCTCACAGCTAAGACCGGGACAGCAGCAGATGACGATGAAGATAAGAGAAGCAGCAGAAGAAGCAAAAGAGGCAGGAGAGGAGCAGAAGATGGAGACGAAGGCTCGGTGACCAAACACCTAACTGTGTCCCCTCCGACTCAGCCGAGTATCTCGATAACTAGTAACTAGTTAAGTAGTTAACGAGTAAGTTGTGTGTATCAGATGCCGGCGTCTGCTCCGTGCCTGGAGACTCTTCCCACTATTTCTTCTTCTACTACTATTTATTTTCTTCTCTAACTTAACCGTCTCCAGGTCTGGCCACTTCTACTCGCTCCAGTCGATGGCAAAGAGCGGACGCTTCGACCTTTTTCAATATATTAACTGTGTCAATCAGCTAGTTACTTAGTTAGACTGCCCTGAGGTCACTGACTCTCCGCCGTCGCCACCGCACAGTCGCTCTCTGTCCTTTTCTCTCTCTCAGTCGTGTCTTTTCCTTGCCTCCCGGACGAGACAACCAGAAAGAGACAGCTTGAGCTTTGTCCCGCGCCGCCCGCCCCGAGTCTCCCCGGGTCCTTTTTGCATCATAACCCAGACCCCAGCGGAGTTACCTAAGGGCAGTCGACCGTCCTGAGTGGCTGGCACTCCGTAACGTACAGTAACCCAGAGGCAAGCTTCCGACCACTGGCTGCTGCCCGTTTGCATGACAAACAAAGGGCCTCGTCACCTTAACCAGAGAAGGAAGCTGTTCTGAAGCAAGAGAACTTATAAGAGGAGAGAGAAGGAGAAGACGGGGGGATCAGGGGCTACAAGAGAGAGAGAGGACACATCCCATGTTTCAGGTGGCAGCACCAACGCCCAGTGAGGATGGAGGGCAAAGCGACCTGACGACACAGAGAAGAGAAGGCGGAAAGGATAAAAGGAGGACACGAGAGATACACTCGTAAACCGCGGAGGCAGCTGGCTGCGTCTCTCCACTGGCTTGTACACACGCCGCAGAAAGAAGTACCAGCGGGCGGAAAAGAGAAAGCAAGAGACAAGAAAGATGAGAGAGAGGACGCCCCCTTAGGGCCAAGGCTGAAACGGGTTTCCAGCTCTAACTAGTTACATAGTCCGCAGGGCCTCAGCTTGGACAAGATACATAAATAACTGCTGTACCAAGTATAGTTACGGAGTATAACAGTATCAGCATCAGCAGCAGTAACAGTAACAGTAGCAGCTTCATAGCTAAGTAGGCAGCTCGAGAGGTTTCAGAGCCACGCGAAAGTGGATGTCTATCTTCTTGTTAGCGACATCTCTTACTTATCTTACTGTCTTCTTCCTCTTACTGCGCCTGCTAAGGACTTACTTGCCTGGCCTGACCTGATCCATCCCTGGCGCTTCCACATGGCGTGGCCGGGGCAAGCGACGGACGCAAGATCTCGTCTTCTTCCCTGTCGTCTTGTTACCCAGCAGCCTTTTCTTCCCTTTCTCATCGCTAGCTGTAGGTCATCATACATACTCTTCTACTACTACTCTTCTTCTTCTTCTACTACTCTTCTACTACTCTTCTACTACTCTCCTGTCTACTTCTACTCTTCTGCTGCTTCTTCCTGAGTAACTGTACTTGCGTAACGTCCTGTAAAATACCATCGTCTCCCCACTCTCCGCCTGCCATCTTCTGCGGGTAACGGTGGGTAATACGCTTACCTAACAGCCCGCCTTTTCCTTGCTTTTTCCCTTCTCTCTTTACTCTTTCTCGTTCTTCCTTTTTACTCTCTTTTACTCTCTTACTTCTCTCTCTTCCTCCTCTCTTTCTTTCCTGTCTTTTGCTTACTTGACTTTCTCTCTTTTACCTTTCACCAGCTCCGTCTCTCTCCCTCGTCTTTCATCTCCCACCGACACCGACATTACCACCACCACCACCACCAGGCTCCCTCTACTCCCGCCACTGCGTCGACGACAGCCTGCGACAGACCGACAGCAGACAAGCAAGAGACAATCAACAGACTGAAGAGAACAGAAGAAGAAGAAGAAGAAGTGGTCGTCCATGCGCCGCTGGCCTTGAGGTTCCCTCCCTCCGCCGCTGGGGTCTCGCCGGCCGCTGGATCCACCAAAGGGAACAGAAGTCGCCCTGCCTTGTCCATCACCGACTTGCTGCCCCCAAGACAACCGCTACGGGAGATCAGATCACGCTTAATTAATACACCATACATACATACACATAATAACCACGACCAAGATAATACGAAGAGAGGGAAGAAGAAGGACAGCTGGAGGGACGACGACGACGGACGGCGACGAAGGAGAAGCAGAGAGGACACAAAGAAGAAGACGACGACGGCCTTTGTTGTGACGGCGCCGTCGCTCGCCTCGCCCTCGCCTCTGCAGCCTCTCCTCCCCCATCCTCATCCTACCTCGTTGCTTACTTACCTATCTACTATCTACGACCCGGCCATTCCTTTCATCGCTGGACCTGGACGCAGACCTGCTATATCGCTTACTTGTATTAATTTCAGTCACCGTGTCTCCACCGGACAGGATGGGAGGATGTCTGAGTTCGGCCGGCAGCGGGTCGGACGAGGTCCTGGAGCAGAAGAAGAAGAGCCAGGCCATAGACAGAATCCTCGAAGAAGACATGAAGCGCCTCAAGAAGGAGTGCAAGATCCTCCTCCTCGGTATACCTTACCTCTATTCTCTTTATCTAAATCTTAAGATGTAGCTAACGGGCTCAGGCTCCGGTGAGAGCGGCAAGTCGACCATCGTCAAGCAGATGAAGATTATCCACCAGAACGGCTACTCCGTCGAGGAGCTGTCCATGTACCGGCTGACCGTGTACAAGAACCTGCTCGACTGCGCCAAATCGCTTATCTGGGCCATGCACCAGTTCGAGATCCAGCCGTCCAGCTCCAAAGTGCGAGACTTCATGGACTACCTGCTCGACTACAACGTCGACCCGGACCCCAACGTCGCCCTCGAGCTCAAGGTCGGAGACGCCATCACATACCTCTGGAACGACCCCAGCATACCCGCCGTCCTCGACCGCCAGAACGAGTTCTACCTCATGGACTCCGCCCCATAGTACGTCTATTACTCTAAACACACATCTATGCTTTATGCGTCTGTACTAACAGGAGTAGCTTCTTTGAAGAGGCAAAGAGGATAACGATGCCAGACTACATCCCCAACGAGGCTGACGTCCTGCGCGCCCGAACAAAGACCACCGGCATCTACGAGACCAGGTTCAACATGGGCCAGCTCAGCATCCAGTACGCCTTGCCATTACCTATCATGCGGCATATTCTATTATATACTAACATCTGGATAGCATGTTCGACGTCGGCGGCCAGCGCAGCGAACGGAAGAAATGGATCCACTGCTTCGAAAACGTCACCTCTATAATCTTCTGCGTCGCCCTGAGTGAATACGACCAGGTCCTGCTCGAAGAAAGCAACCAGAACCGCATGATGGAGTCGCTCGTCCTCTTCGATTCAGTCGTCAACTCGCGCTGGTTCATGCGCACCTCCATCGTCCTCTTCCTCAACAAGGTCGATCTCTTCCGCCAGAAGCTCGGCCGCTCGCCGCTCAGCAAGTACTTTCCAGACTACTCCGGCGGCAACGACGTCAACAGAGCCGCCAAGTACCTGCTCTGGCGGTTCAACCAGGTCAACCGCGCCCACCTCAACCTCTATCCTCAGTAAGTCTCTATATATACACTCTATATATATATGTATAATGTAACTAACGGCAATAGCTTGACACAAGCAACTGACACGTCGAACATCCGGCTCGTCTTTGCCGCCGTCAAGGAAACCATCCTTCAAAACGCCCTCAAGGACTCGGGCATATTATAACCTCTCTCTCACCCCGTCTTCTCTTCTTTCCGACTTCCATCACCACTACCATTACTGCCGCTTCCACTTCATGAGATACCACTTACATACCCACGACCTTTGACTTCACCGGCGTTCAACTGTGTTTTGTCTTATCTGCTTTTTCTTCCTCTCTTCTTGTCTGTTTTACTGCTATTTCCTCGTCTCCTGCTCCTTTCTGTGTCTTTTTTTTTTTTTTACTACCAACGGGACGACACTGTACCGGCGCGGCGTCCTCTTTTTTTTCCATCTCCTTTTCTACTCGGTCATCGTCTTTTCTTCATCTCATCTTCATCAGCGAGTTCATCTTTTTTTTTCTTTTACTTTATCTCTCCCCCTTCTCACCCTCCTTATGACGCTGCACGCCCGCCTTTGGCCCTTTTCTTTTTACTTACCTCTATAAGAAGCCCCCCCTTTTCTTCTTCTCCCTCTCCTTTCTTGACTACTTTTGTTACTATTCGGTTAATGCATCACTCACGACCAAACCCATCTACAACATTAATCTCGTCCTCCTCCGCCCTCTTCCTCTCTCCTCCGCTCATCCTCGCATCCCTCTCGACATTGTCCTTCATATCTTCTCTTCCGCGGCCCCAAAGTCATGCTGTGCCAACTTCTCCCTCCGCCCCTTACTCGCTACTATCCTGTTTCTTCCTTGCCTCTGCCCCAAAAAGAAAAAACGAACCCGCCTCTCCCCCTTGCTTCTTCTTCCTCCTCCTCCTCTTCTTATTCTTCTTGCTTCTTGTCCTTTTCGTGATGATGTACGAGAAACCCGTCTCTCTCTAACTACTAACTCTCTATCTCGCCGTGACTTGCCATTCTATCTTCCATCTGTGATGTGCCATTACCATTACCTTTTTCCTCTACTTCTTCTCCTACTTCTACTTCTACTTCTTCCTCTACCAGCTTCACTCTAGATTAAGCTTAAGCTCAGCATCTCATGTCTATCCTTTTCATCGCAAGCTCGTAAAAGTTATCAAGCAGCTAACTAACTAACTAATCTAATGTAAAATGTAACTCGCAGCTAAAGAAGTAAATCTGACTAAAAGCAAACTAACCAACCTTGCTATTTATACTTGTGTTGGATGTACTTGTTAGTTAGTGTTGGCATGCGAGATATACAGTACATAGCTACAAGAAGACAGGACAAGGAAGACGGACGCCGGCCCGTCAAGGGATCCTTCATCTACTGTAATATGGAGCGCGCGGAAGACAAGTAGACAGACAGCAGCAAGACATGTGTCTATCAGTCTGTCCGTCTATGTATATGTCTCTCATGCAAGCTGTGCTGCCCGGGCAAGGATACTTACAAGTTACCTACACCCTTAGCTTGCCGTCGCCACCAGAGCAGAAGCTGGCCTGGGCCGGTGACTGGACTTGGAGATAAGACTCGCCTTTTCCCTGCCTTGTCTTAAAGAGAAGAGCTTCTTCTTCTTCTTCTTCTCTTCTTCTTCCAGGCTGTGCGACTTTTGCGTCTTCCCTTCTTATCTTCCCCTCCGCCCGCACGCCCGCTCCTACTCCCTCCTACTTCTACCATCTCCAGCACCAACACCAACACAGATACATCCACGACAGACGAAAGAGAAGAGAAAGAGAGATGGCTCCTGGCATCGACACCCACCACCATCGAGAGCGCCGGCCGTCCGTCGGGGCTCCGCATACTGACCTCCAGGGACCCGTGGGACCAGGTTTCTCGCGTCCCAAACACAAGCGGACCTTCACTGGCTTTGGACCCAAGGACATCAAGGTCGTCGAAGCCAGCATCCCCGAGCCCCAGAGAGCTGCGTGAGTCTTTCTTTACTCTAGTTTATTTTACTCTGTTGCTACTGTTGTTTTGTGGTGGTTGTGGTGGTGCTGACGGTTTACTACTACAGGTGGAAGAGATATGTAAGGAAAGTAGAACTTCAGACGAGATACGAGAGACTGACGAGATGACCGCTTAGGCCCCCAAGGAGTTTGAGAACAAGGAGGAGTTCGAGGTTGGTCTGACTTGGCCGGTTTAATAACTTGCTAGCTCTAGCTGTTCCATCCACTCTAGTTGTGCTGCTGACTCGGTTAACCTGCAGTGCGAGGTCGTCCGCCATGTCGAGACCAGCTTGGCTCGGTCCATATTCAACTGTGACGAAGTGTGCGTTGGACATGAACACTCGAGATGGATGTGATAGATGCTGATAACAGTGTCTACTAGAGCTGCGTACTCGGCCACTGCCCTGGCCTTCAGGGACCGTCTGGTCGTCGAGTGGAACAAGACCCAGCAGCGCCAGACCTTCAAGGACCAGAAGCGTGTCTACTGTAGGTTAACTACCTTTAACTATCCATTGATTGAGTGATAGAGTGTTAATGGCGATAGATCTCTCGCTGGAGTTCCTTATGGGACGAGCCCTTGACAATGCCATGCTGAACGTCGGCCTGAAGGACCTGGCCAGAGGTGAGTTTGCTCAGCGGGCCTGGTCTTAAGATAAGGGCTAATGTTACGTCATAGATGGACTGGGCGATCTCGGCTTCCGCGTCGAGGACATCATCCAGCAGGAGAACGACGCTGCCCTGGGCAACGGAGGCCTCGGTCGTCTGGCCGCCTGCTTCCTCGACAGTCTGGCCTCGCTCAACTACCCGGCCTGGGGATACGGCCTGCGCTACCGATACGGCATCTTCAAGCAGGAGATCGTCAACGGGTACCAGATCGAGGTGCCGGACTACTGGCTCGATTTCAACCCCTGGGAGTTCCCGCGCCACGACGTCACCGTCGACATCCAGTTCTACGGATGGGTCCGCAAGTACCAGGATGAGAACGGCAAGACCGTCCACTCCTGGCAGGACGGCGAGATCGTCCAGGCTGTCGCCTACGATATGCCCATCCCCGGATACCAGACTCCCACCACCAACAACCTGCGTCTCTGGTCCTCCAAGGCCGCCAGCGGTGAGTTCGACTTCCAGCGCTTCAATGCCGGAGACTACGAGAGCGCCGTCGCAGACGAGCAGCGCGCAGAGACCATCTCCGCCGTTCTCTACCCCAACGACAACCTCGACAGGGGTAAGGAGCTTCGTTTGAAGCAGCAGTACTTCTGGTGTGCTGCCTCCCTGTTCGACATCGTCCGTCGCTACAAGAAGACCAAGCGACCCTGGAGCGAGTTCTCCGACCAGGTCGCCATCCAGCTCAATGATACCCATCCTACCTTGGCCATCGTCGAGCTCCAGCGTATCTTCGTCGATGAGGAAGGCCTCGACTGGGACGAGGCCTGGCGTCTCGTCTCCAACACCTTCGGATACACCAACCACACCGTCCTCCCAGAGGCTTTGGAGAAGTGGTCCGTCCCCCTGATGCAGAACCTGCTCCCCCGTCACCTCCAGATCATCTACGAGATCAACATGGCCTTCCTCCAGCACGTCGAGCGCAAGTTCCCCAAGGACCACGACCTCCTCAGCCGTGTCTCCGTCATCGAAGAGTCCCAGCCAAAGATGGTCCGCATGGCTCACATCGCCATCATCGGATCCCACAAGGTCAACGGTGTCGCCGAGCTGCACTCCGACCTCATCCAGTCTACCATCTTCAAGGACTTCGTCACCATCTACGGACCCGACAAGTTCGGCAACGTCACCAACGGCATCACCCCTCGCCGCTGGCTGCACCAGGCCAACCGCAGACTTTCAGACCTCATTGCCTCCAAGCTCGGCGGCCACGAGTTCCTTAAGAACCTGACCTTACTCGACAAGCTCGAAGGCTGCATTGACGATAAGGAGTTCAAGGCCGAGTGGGCTGCCATCAAGACCGCCAACAAGGAGCGTCTGGCAAAACACATCCTCGACACCACCGGTGTCAAGGTCAACCCCAATGCCCTCTTCGACATCCAAGTCAAGCGTTTCCACGAGTACAAGCGTCAGCAGCTCAACATCCTCGGCGTCATCCACCGCTACCTCCGCATCAAGGCCATGAGCCCAGAGGAACGCAAGAAGCTGGCTCCCCGTGTCTCTATCTTCGGCGGCAAGGCTGCTCCAGGATACTGGATGGCAAAGACCATCATTCACTTGATCAACAGTGTCGGTGCAGTTGTCAACAACGACCGTGACGTCGGCGACCTGCTCAAGGTCATCTTCATCGAAGACTACAACGTCAGCAAGGCCGAAATCATCTGCCCTGCCTCCGACATCAGCGAGCACATCTCCACCGCCGGTACCGAGGCCTCTGGAACAAGTAACATGAAATTCGTCCTCAACGGCGGCCTCATCATCGGAACCTGCGACGGTGCCAACGTAAGTCCCACTCCCCTCTTAACTTCTAATATCATTCATTCAGTTCTAACGCTTATCTATAGATCGAAATCACCCGTGAAATCGGTGAAAACAACATCTTCCTGTTCGGCAACCTCGCCGAAGACGTCGAGGACCTTCGCCACGCCCACGTCTACAACCCTTCAAGCATCACCATCGACCCATCCCTCTCTGCAGTCTTCGACGCCATCCGCGCCAACACCTTCGGCGACGCAAGCTCCTTCTCTGCAATCATCGACTCCATCCTCGAGCACGGCGACTACTACCTGGTCTCCGATGACTTCAACTCCTACGTCAAGACCCATGATATCATTGACGAAGCCTTCAAGGACAAAGAAGGTTGGGTCGAGAAGAGCATCCTCAGCGTTGCTAGGATGGGTTTCTTCTCGTCTGACAGGGCTATTGCGGAGTATGCCGAGGGTATCTGGAACATCGAGCCTTTGGACGTCACCAACTAATCAAATAACCTAACTACTTACCTCCCTTGATGGGTTGGTTCAGTCTACTCGATGCGATGTGATGTGATGCGATGTGATCTGATGTGACGCAATGTGATGGTGAAGTGAAAAAGGGATGACTCTTTTCGTTCAGCTTGCCAGCTTCTAATTTGTCGTTTTTCTCGTGGTAAAATTGTTTCAGAGATATAGTTAGCATGGTGCCTGCTATAACTAGCGAGCACAGACTAAATAGCAATTAATTGATTTCCTTGATACATCATCCTATGAGTCGCGAACCAGCTAGACCCACGGAGGCGTTTCTTTCCATAACAGCTTCTCAGCCGCAAGTTCTTCATCGTAATTATCATCTGGAAAAGCATCTCGTATGATCTTTTCCCTCTCCGGACTGTTTTCCACACAGTATATCCCCTTGGTAAATTCCCAGTATTCGGGATAATAGCCGGCACATTCCCAGTCCACGATACCGGACAGCTTCCCCCGGTCAATCATGATATTATAAGGATTTAAATCAGCATGGGAGAAGAACGAGCGGTACTTTCTGGAATAGATGGGAGCTACCGCCTCTTCCGTGCTGGACGCGATGTGCGTGTGTATAAGCGAGTTGTGGAAATCAGTCACTTTGTTAAAGGGGCCATAGGCCACGTCGGGTTGGTCTGGTATGCGAACATCTAGAAGTGGGCCACCCAGAACATTCGCAAAGCGATGAGAGGTGTTATTTGGGATCGTTCGAAGCTGTTTGATAGCTGAACACAAGTCTGCTGAAAGTTGCGCGCGTTCCTGATATGATAACCGGTGGAATACCTCATTCAATTGATTGCCTTTAATCCAAGTCATTACCAGCATTAACTTGCCCTCATGCTCGAATGTGTCAACGTATAGGGGTGCATGTATTGATGTACGCTGTTCAACGATCTGAAGGGCCATTCCTTCATTGTATCGAGTCCGGTAACATTGCTTCATGTATAGCCCGAGTGGAAGTTGCTGTGCCAACGCCGACGCCTGATGCGGATACAGACGTTCATTGACCTTCAGTAAAAGAAGGTAACACCGAACGCGTATCGGTTTGGGCACAAAATGCCAGCATCTGCGGATATATTGGCAGGCCGTTTTGCTCAGTGAAACTATCATTACCCCAAACCTATCAGCCAGCCATCCTCAAGTTTGGAAAGACACCGTTAAATTCTACTCGTGAGCCTTACTGTAAGGTGATCGTGGCCAACCGATGGAAATGCGTTCCTCGACAAAGAAAAGGTGCAACGCAGTAGCGATCTTGGAGTGTATCCGGAGTAATTCCTCACTAGGTAAAGGGTATAAGGAGGGATCCTGAGTGAAAATTTTAAACATATGAACATTGCCATTCAACGGATCTCCATTGCTAAGAGTAAGGTCGGTGCATTCTTCCGGTGCAAGCGTAATAGCGAAGTACTGCTTATGAGCCTCTTAGTATCAAATCTTTAACCATCCAACGCAATGCATCAAAACTGAAAAAGCAAGACCAACATTAACTTTTGTTGCATCTATATCCACCTTCTTCGGCGGACACGGACCTGACCCTCTAGTGATCTCTATATGGCCATCTCGGAAAGCGGACTGGACCGATGGTGATAGGAGCAAAAGGTTTTTCAGTGCATTTTTTTGCTCGGTACAACCTTCAAGCATGTCCCGTAGCCAGCGTACTTTGTCGGGAGTTAAGAAGGCTTCCAAGAGTGAGGAGAGCGGACTCTAAAGATTGACGCCTTTCGTTAAAAGATAGTCAATGTTGGCAGCAGTAGTAAAAGCAGCACACACACCTCGTATGCCAGCTCATTGTCATCAAAAGTGGAAGGGGGTATAATCCATGTGGGTTCGACATCAAACGTTGCATTTACATCTAGGCGTTCGCGATGGTTTACCATACAGCAGCAATTCTGCACATCCCGGCGTTTGAGGAGACATTGCAACGGCAATGGTATCGCCTCACGTTTTGTAGCTTCAGGCAATAGAATTAACTTCAGGTCGTGGTAGGAACATTCCCTGAGGACTTACATTTAGTAACAAGCTGTCTCCAGTCCTCCTTGACTTCCCCAAGGCTTGCCTCAACACTGCGGTTTGGGTTCTCTTTCACCTTTTGCAGCAGGTATCTAGCTGCACACTCTGGGTCTTCAGCCAGATCCAAGAACCGTTCCAACAGCAAGTGCTCAGTGGGAGTTAGAGCAGCAGACCTAACGGTATCAAGAGCAGCCAAAAACATACCCTTATCAGACTCCATTGCTCGAGTTATCAACGGACGGCGGGTAACAAAGCCTAAAACAATAACTACTTGGGTCAAGGCGCCAGGGAGCCTTGTTTGATCAGCATGCGCTATTGCATGTTGATTGGTCTATTTTTTTTACCAGCCCATTACTTGAGAAGAAGAACAGGACAGGTCCACCTACGGACGTACGAGAGCTTCATACTCTTCCCTGGTTGTGGACGGTGTCACTCTGATGTTCTGGCGTTTCTTTTGATTTCTCAGCTAAGTCCTTCTTCGAGTCTGTCTCATCCCGTCTCGAAAAGTGCTCAGTGATAGGGTCGTCATAATGAAAGGTACTATAACGACACCAAATAGCCGACTCTGCTTTGAGCTCCTCTGGGTACGTAGTCATTGTCTGCTCGAAGGCATCATAAAACTCTTTGCGATACGGCCGCCACCCGTAATGGATCTTGGTATACTCCCAGTACTCGGGGTACCACCCTGCGAATTCCCAGTCAACTATCGCAACAATTTTTCCATCCTTGACCAGTACATTGTTAGGACATATGTCTGCATGGCTATACTTGATGGCGTATGACCTGGAAATGTCATGGACCTGTTTAACAGACTCGCCCCAGAACTCCAGCGGAACACCGCGACGAACATGAAAGTGGAAGTCTGCAATGTTGTTAAAGGGGCCAAAGTGACGGTCTCCGAGTCGATGATCATAGCCAGGCCCCAGACTTGTCGAACCAACTGCCCCTTCTTCGGGCGGAACGAGATCTCGCAGCTGCTGTACAATTGCTGTGAACTCCTGGACAATATTTAGTCTCTGATCCTCGGTCAGGTCTGGCCAGGCAGAGTCTAACGTCTGGCCATCGACCGCATCCATGACCAGGTACTGCTTCTTTCCGCATGTATACACTTTGGTAACGCGAGGGACTGGGATGGTGGTGTGTTTCTGAATAAATTGCATGGCTTCAAGCTCTGCCGGATAGCAGGCGAATTTGATGATTTGGTTGAATGGAAGACGATTGACCCTTGGTGACGATGTCTCTCCTCCATTCTTATCAAAAAAAGCAGCCAGTCGTAGCTGGATTCGAAGCCATACAGGTATCTTTCGGGATTTAAGCGTAACCCAGCGAATCTTTGCCATCGATTTTTAACTTGAGTATAGCTATTGGGAACGAGAGATGACAAATTCATGGATCTGGGTTCGAATAGCCTTGAAAATTACAAGAACTATGTTAAGACAGAAGCAGGAGTAGCAGCGTAAGTAACCGCTACTACGGCTAAACAACTGCTCTCTATACATTAAATAGGGGCCGTCGAGTTCGATGAAAATGCGTTTTATATTCTCTTTTAGGGCGGTAGACGTGATTGGCTGTTCCTGTCCTATTTTTACTTTCCTGAAGGTTTGCCAAGCCTAGACGGCCGAGCTAGTCATGTGATGTAAGCAAAGGCTTGTTATTAATCATTAGTCAGCATGGGTACTGCTTGGTTATTGGCCCATTTTTTGCCAATGGTCATGTGATCTGAGGGAGCGCGGGCCACCTTGAAACAAGCTAGCAAGTGTTTGTTGACTAGTGAACTCCTTAGGGAGTGAGTTGGACGTCGTTCTGTTCGCACCATCAGGTTCCATGCAAGGCCGTAATCTGTTGCACTGCGTTCATGGATACCAAGAGGCATATTCAATGACCTTCCAGAACGGGTAAATCCTCTCAAATTGTCTCCTCCATCTCCCGTCTCTTTTTCTTATAAGCATATCTGCATGGGGATGTGCTCGACTCCTTATCTCAGCCCGTTTCACCCTATGTCTATGGCGTAGTTAGGATTCGAGGATCGAGACGTTGGTTAACCCGCCAGATGCCATAACTAACCATATCCTATCCTTCGTATTCCTCGAATAACCTATCTCTCTCTGCCTCTTCTTCCTTTTTCTTACTATCATTGATTGCTCCAGATGTGCAGCGGTGTTGAGCTTGTTTTCCTACGTTCCAGGCGGCTCCTCGGGAAACCCCTAACCAGGAAGTTAACTACCGGCCCGCTTTGACATTTCGCATTGGCCTAACCTGGCTCGGCTTCGTTTCCCACCAGCCGCTGCCCAACGGACTTTGCTTCCCAAAGAGGAAGCTAACTTCAGCTTCTTCTCGCCCACCGGCGACTTAGGCTCGCCTCATATACCCCTGGAACCCAAATACCAGCCGGTATGAAGTATTCCTGACGTAGAAAACGCCATGACTCATGGGCGTCTCATTCCAGGTCTATATTGCTATCTATATGTAGTTACAGTGCATATAGTGTGATGATATGTGGTTTATGACCTTTCTCCATATTACCGCGTACTCGGTTTGCCGCCTGCCATCCGCCCGTCCAAAAGCTTGATCCATGCGGAGAATGAGGGCCTGCTCCGTGCAGCGGGATCGCCTTTTAATCGAAAAACAGGGAGATTATCTTCAATTCTGCCCCCTGGTCTCCGGGGTAGTTGAGGATAAAAAGAGTTATGGACTACTGGCGGATCTACATTCCCTTTTAGCCCCTTTATTGTTGGGACAGAACTACATGCGAGTTGAGCCGCTGGTGGAAGAACTTAAGTTCTCTTTGCATTGTTGGAGATCCGAAAGGGCTGAGGATGTAGCAGGGAGGCGGAAGACGGGGGGCGGAAGAAAGGACCGATGGACGGGCGTTTGAGGCCGTGATGAGCTCAATTCTCGGACATGAACATGCCAGCTGAGCTTCCTTTTTTTTTCTTTTGAGTATTACAGTCTTCGATGCTACAAGGAGTATGGTTGACTACGGATAGGCCGGTTACAGGGCATTGTGCAGGTTCTCAGGAGATGTGCAATCTTCTCTCCTCGTCTCGTTCATGTTGTGTATAAATACCAGCGTCCTCAGCCTTCCGCTTCAGCGTAAAGGCCATTATCATCCATCATCGACTTCCTTGATACCGTACACACACGCGTTGAAGACTTAGAGAACCTGTTCATTATTCAGAATGCGTTTCTCTCTTTCTCTTATCGGCCTTGTTGCCTCGGGGTCCCTTGCGGCCGCCCATCCATCTCACTGTGGTGCTGAGCCGTCTGAGGACTTTGACATTTTGTCCAAAGATATCACGGACAAGCTGGCAGCGGAGGCTTCCGAGATCCACGCACCCATCGAGGTCACCACCTTCTTCCATGTTGTTGCTTCTAGCAAGTCTGTAGCCGATGGCTACATCTCGGTATGGTCACATATACGATACTAGTGCTGTATCACCTACTAATGAGCTACCATAGGATAAAATGCTCCAGGACCAGCTTGCGGTTATGAACAAGGCCTACGCACCGCATGGTTTCAGTTTCAAGCACGGAAACACTACCAGAACCATCAACCCTACTTGGGCCACCGGCGGTGATGAACTTAACATGAAATATGCTCTCCACATGGGGAAGTACGCTGACCTCAACCTGTACTTCGTCAAGAAACTCGCAGACAACTCTCACGGGGTAAGTTAGGGGGTTGGACAGGAACACTCTTAAGTAAATAACTTACCGAATGCTAAAATGGACCTTGACAGAGTTGCCCGTATCCTTCGAACCCCTATCCTGGCACTCCTGGATATATCAAAGATGGCTGCACTATCTTGTCCTCGACTGTTCCTGGTGGAAGTCAGTCAAACGCCAACCGTGGCCTGACAACTGTCCATGAGATTGGCCACTACATGGGTACGTGATAAATCTTTTTATCCGACGGTTAGATGCGATTCGCAGCTATAGCTATATGGATACACTCCCTTTACGCCGATTGGCGATTGGTTAATATGTTCCTCTTGCTGATTATACCTCCCCTTTTCAGGTCTATACCACACGTTTCAGGGCGGATGCAGTACCGAACTCGGCGATCGCGTTGCCGATACTCCAGCCCAGAAGAACGGGACTGTTGGCTGTCCATCCAGCCGCGACTCATGCCCTGACCAGGCAGGGCTGGACCCAATCCATAATTACATGGATACCTCCGATGAGTAAGTCCGCTACTTTCCCATGTTTATTAGAAGTTCGATGGATATAGAAATTGCAAGCTAACTGGAAACGTGCTACCTTCAGCGTGTGCCGTACCGAGTTCACCCCGAAGCAGGCAATGCGTATGCAAGAGATGTACAAGGAATTCCGAGCTGGAAAGTGAAGGTCGGTATTAACTGGCCTGATCTTGCCAGATGAAAACTTCTCTGGGCATAGACGAGACGCAGTGTGTTATTCCGTTTTCAGGATTCACATATTTATGCACGCATAAATGATAAACTTTTCTAACCATGAAAACCTTTTTACTGGTTGTTGACTCTTTCGTGGGCCAAGATAACTACTTGGTTCTCATTTAAAGCGATTTGAACAGGCTAAATTCCACTCGCTCAAATATAGACTAACCTGTAATGCTCGCTAAGTATAGTATTGACGGTATATCCATTGATTGAATAAGGAGTAGGCAACTCACCCGCACCTGTACCTACATCCGGTTTTTATTGCTTCAGGGGTCTGTAGTGAGATCAGTCAAATAGTTAGGGTTGGCTGATGGCATGGGCAGTCAGTTGATGCCTGACCTCGTATCTGCACCTAGAGCACACAGCCATGAAGAGCCATTTAGTCCACATGTTCTCATGCTGCTCTTCTTCCATAGGTTACCTGCTTAAGCAGTAAAGATACACCAGAAGAACCAGTCAGTTATATACCCCATAACTAATAAGCAGATCCTCAGTGGGCACACCCCATAATTAGTTCCCTTGGCTAGGCTAGTTTCATAGTTAAGGTTAACTACCCTTCAGCAACTAACTATAACTTTTGTGGTTAACAACTGCTGCCTGTTCCCATGTTTAGAACGGGTGTTCGGCGACTTTTTAGCCGCAAGCCATGGCTTGCTTTTTCCAGGCTTGAAGACATATAAATATTCAAGCGGGGGTTGTGTTTGTTTTTTGGTTGTGGAAGTTCGCAGTTAAACTGGAGGAGTTGATAACTCGTTAACTAACTACCTCCTAGGTAGTGATCAATCTTCTACCCACTATATACTCCATATCGAGCCTGTGAGTATGTTGATGGTAGCGTTACTGGCCCTTCTGGGCTATTTTGTCGTTCAGACGGTTTATCGTCTCTATTTCCACCCCTTAAGCAAGTTCCCTGGCCCAAAAATTGCGGCCATCGGTCGTTTTTATGAGTTCTATTTCGATATCATCAAAGGGGGCATGTACATATGGGAAATACAACGCATGCACGAGCAATACGGTGAGTATTAGGTATTTATTCTTAGCATACATAGCATTACCTTGCCGTTCACTGGCTAATAAAAGTCATACAGGCCCTATTGTACGAGTCAACCACCGGGAACTCCATATCAAAGACCCTGACTACTATGCTGAGGTATACAGCTCTCGAAAGCAAGAAAAGGACTTCCATACCGTCTGTGCTTATGGCATGCCATTGTCCATGATCTCAACTATTGATCACGACCACCACCGTTTCCGCCGGAGTCTCCTAAACTCATTCTTCTCCAAACGAGCCGTGTCCAGTCTTGAGCCCATGGTCCTAGAGAAAGTCAACCGTGCTGCAGAACGCATCGAAGAGGCCTTCCACGAGAATGCTCTGGTCCCCTTTGATAGGGTATTTGCCGCTGTGACTGCAGATGTTATCTCCAAATACTCATATGGCCGAAGTGTGGACTACTTGGAGAGTAAAGAGTATAAGAACGACTTCAGGGACTTCGGAAACGTTGCCAGTGCCTTATCACATTTCTTCACTTTCTTCCCAGCATTGATCGCTTTGGTCAAGGTTATACCTGAAGGATGGCTGCAGGCGGTTAACCCGCAGGCCGTCGGGTTTTTTGGCATGAGAGATATCGTCAGGGACCAATCCTTAGCTATGATCGAGGAAACCAGTCGTCCAGGATACAAATCACCAGAGGGAGCTGATAGAAACATCTTCCATGCCCTCTGTGACCCCGCGGTTCCCGCCCAGGAGAAGGTAATTGACAGGTTAATAGAGGAAGGGTTAGGTGTTCTTGCCGCAGGTACGGAGACAACGGCAAGAACACTGACCGTAGGCACATACTATCTATACAAAGATAAATCCGTCCTGCATAAACTACGCCAGGAGTTGAAGGAAGTGATGCCAAAGCCAGACAGCCCCATCACTTGGGCAGAGTTGGAAAAGTTGCCTTACCTCGTACGTTTCCAGCCGTTTTATCATGCCTACCATTACAAGCTATCACTAACAACAAAGTCATTTAGAACGGAGTTATTAATGAATCGCTTCGTCTGTCTCACACTTTGATTATGAGGCTCCCCCGAGTTGCAAAGGATCAGAGCCTGGCGTATGGAGAATACGTGATTCCCCCCGGTGTAAGTCTGCCAAACAATCGTTGTTACTATTGTACTGCTGGTTGTTTGATCTTGCTGACCCCATTTTCTGCAGACCCCTGTTAGCATGATATCGTACTTTATTCACCTTGATCCAAAGATATTCCCTGACCCGGAAAAGTTCGAGCCTGAGCGCTGGATTCGGGCCACGGAAAACGGCGAGCGGCTGTCTAGGTATACGCTTCATTCACAAAGGGAAACAGGATTTGTCTTGGAATGAAGTGAGTTCCCCCCCTTATATTATCCTCTCCCCATAGTGTTAGGGACCCCTATCTCGGTTGACCGGATGCTAATGATCTACTCTTATATTTGATAGCCTCGCGTATATAGAGTTGTATCTCATGTTTGCAATCATGGTTCGCAGGTTCGATATGGATCTCCATAACACCACGTTTGACAATATTAGAGTCGATAGGGAGTATGGCCCAGGCCTGCCGAAGGATAAAAATTCCATTGAGGGTCAGGCTAAAGTGACTAAGGTCCTAACCGAATAACTGAAGGGCTTCGAAGGATTTTCATTGATAGGAAGTTCATTTGTAATGGCTAAACTGTAAGGTATCATTCGTTTCCAGGCGCTGCTAGGATGAAACATTGCCTAGTAATGGATGCAGGTCCATATCATGATTTTTGTGTTATTTAAATTGGTATTTTTCACAGGTAAGTTGTACAGTCCGATTCATAAACTGAACCCCAATGTGAGATGGAACGCTTTCAATATATATAGCAATGAAATCAAAACAACGTGAGATAGACGTGAAATGGGTATATAATGTTAAAGCCTTGCTCTTCCCACAGGGCAGTAAAATTTATGAACACTGCAAAACTTTCTGCTAAGAATTGATGCAAATCTTGTCGCGGTGGCGAAAAGTAAGGGAACTTACCGTTCAAGGAGGTTTTTTGTTTATATCCAGGCCCTCTATTCAGTAGTGAGTTCTTGAATGCGACGTTCTAACTCGGGAACAGCTCGAAGCTGAAGATCAATATCTTCCTTTTCACTAGAAACAGAAGAAACCTGGTTAGCAGTAGAATCTAGTATGGATGAAAGCTGATACTACAACTCACTCTTCAAGCTTCAATCGGCGTTCCCAGTCCAAGCCTGTAAAGATACAATTTCCCTGGCCATCAAACTGGAGGATCTTTTTATGGTACTTCCACAAACTCCTCCTGTGCGAGACTGTCATCAAGGTCACACCAAGCTTCTTAGCAGTCTCATACATGACCTTCTCGATCTCCAGTGTGACTGAAGAAGTACATTCGTCTAAAATGGCGTACTTTGGCTTATGGTAGAACAGTCGTGCCATAGCAATTCGTTGCTGGAGTCCGCCGGACAGCACATCTCGCCACTCTTCCTCAGCATCCCATCCACCAGGTCTGTCAACAATGGTAGAAACCTCCACAATGGATAAGATATCGAAGAGGTCTGAGTCGGTCACCCCTTTTTCGTGCATTTCTTTGAGACCATCGGGATAAATGACCTGTTGCCGAAGGGTTCCGCGTGACAGATATGGTCGCTGGGGTATATAAAAGATATCTTCAAAGGATGGCTTTTTGACTGTACCACCATATACTGGCCAGAGTCCACCGAGAATACGGAAAAGAGATGACTTTCCACACCCATTAGGGCCAACGATGAGAAGATGCTCTCCCGGATGGACGGTGAAAGTGAGCTTTTCAACCAAGACATCTCCGTTGGGTGAAATGATTGGAACATCAGTGAACTCGATCGAATCACTTTCCACGATGGTCCCGCGCTTTCCAAGGACAGCGGCATTAGCCTCTGTTGATACGGAAGAAACCAGTTTCTTCTGGAAACGACCGGCAGTGATATCATCCATTACCTCCAAAAGAGATGCCACGCGAGAGGTATGGCCAGCAAGCTGGGAGATCTCCTTGTATGAGAACATCACTCTTCCAAAGGCATCAGAGGAAGAGAGCAGTATTCTTCTGTTGGTAACGAAACTCTCAGTCCTATCTCCCATGGTCGAGGTTATCTGGCTAGGGATTTTGAAGAAAACAGGGACACTGCATAGTATCAGTCCCAGAGCGCCCCAGAAGTACTTGATGACGAAGTCTTCCATGAATCCGTGGTAAAGTCTTCTTCTTAAGATGCGGTTGACATGTTTGATGAGGGTGAAATACCCCTTGTCTAAAGTATCTCGCTCCGATTCATGACCGTGGTATAGAGCCACCTCTTCGCTATAATCAATTAACCGCGTATGTTGGAAGCGGAACTCTCCCTCTAGTTTCGCTTCCTCGGCCACATATTTACCGAACGGTGGAGTGAGGGCTCTCATGGCATTAGCAGAGAGCTGTACCAAAAGCGCCATGATAAAAAGGCCTTCGCCTCCCACGTTCTTCGACAGAGAGTAATTGTAAATAGCCATGTCAAGAATCGGTTTGGCAAGGTTAGAGTATAACTCTGCCAAGCTGTTGGAGAACCGCGATATGTCCACTGTAATAAGCTGGTCTGGGTTCTTGATTCGGTCATCTAGCGCGGATAAAGCATAAAAGTTCATGTTTGACAAGTACTGATTATGAATGTGCTCAGTTAGACGTTTTCGGTATTGAAGTGCTAGTTGGCATTGGTGATACGAAAGCTACCATCATCATCACAAACAGATTAGCAAGGGAACAGGCTAAATTCAAGTTTACGTATGTAAACCAAAATTCATCTAAGAGTAAGGCACTCACCATTGAATTAGTAAAGGTGGCTGGTACCGCCACCGTCATCCACCAGGCCAGCGCAAGGAGAAACTCCCTGCCTTTGCCCCTTACCAAGCTGCTGACAAGTTTTCCATCCAGTTCTGCGACATATAAACTCAGCAATGTCCGCAAAACAAGGAAGACCGAATGGCTAATCAGTAGCCGGAGCTCCTTGCTCTTCCATCCTGGTATCACGATCTTCAGCAACCGTAGTAAATTCCGTAGAAACTCTCGATTCAATCCAACTCGTTTCCGGGGCGAGCCACCGCCCTCTTTACTAGCGCCATCACCGCCTGCAGCTATGTTATCATCCCCATCCAACTTTCGAGTGCCTGCCCTGTTTCTAGCATGTATCTCAGAGGCAGACTTTTGCTCGGCAATGGCATTGTGAATTCGTTTGGCGAGAGCGAGGAAAAGCGTCAGGTAAACGGCGCGGGATATGCCGGTGCGGTGTTTGACGTATTTCTTTGCGAGGAGGGATACAATATCTTTAACTGATCGCTCCAGTCCCTGTCCCACCGGGTAGGAGAGGACTGCCATGGCGGCGGCGGTAGTGGTGGTGATGTTGCACTCGGGGGTATTAGCAGCTTGCCGAAGCAACCGCCTTAACAAGGAAACGGATCTCTATGCGCTGCAAGTTAAGCATGTATCTGGCATCCTGTAAGCCCTAAACGTCTGGCTCCAGGCATGCTTAACTCCAACGTCCAAAACTCCCACGTTGTTTGCGTTCATCTTCGTCGCTTCTGCTTCTTCGGCCTCGTTGAAATCATCGCGGTTGGCAAAGCCGAAGTCACATGACCAATCCACGCCGCGCTGACATGTGATAAACACCGACAAAACCGCTGGAAAGAGAGAAAAAGAAGACGAATATCGAGGTGGAAGACAAGACAAGATGAAGAGACAAATTCAGTTGTAGATTATTATATATTGTATATAATGAAACATTGCCAGGGCTTCTCTTGAATATAAAAGTAAGGAAGCACGAAGTAGCTCCCTTCACACGCTCAAGTCAACATCTCACAAGTAAATTAGTTAGATAAGTAAAGGCCACTGGTTGTCCAGAACAAAAAGCAACCAGCATGAAAACAGAAAAACAAACTGTTTGAGTTTGGGCTGCTGACTGCATAGGCATATAGCTATCCTATCGGAAGAGTAAGAAGAAAGAAGATGCAAGAAAAGATGTCCATAATCCAGTTGTTGCATGCATGTATGCGCCGGTGGGAAAAGCCATCCACGTCCTCGCTAAACCAAAAAAAATTGATAAAAATAAAAAGGGCATGTGCAGTGAGATATGGTAAATACATTGGGAGTGAAGTTGCTCGCAGTGGCAGGGCAAAAAGTAGAGGAAGAGAGAGGATATATTAAATAGATTCGCTAGAGGGGATATTGAACAACGAAATGAGTAGGAGAGTACGTCGTAATCAAAATGGGTACGAAAGGTATAGCTTCTTAGGCTGTGCCAGGGTCAAAATGTAAAAGTATGTGGTAAAAGGCAAAGAAAAAAAAAAGAAAAAACACCATGGAAGTACCTTTGCAGTTCCGCTTCATCATTAATGGAGGATTGAGGATTTCAAAAAGTAATGAATAGGCATTCATGCATCGTCCGGATTTCTTAGACCCGCATTTATAAGTGCGACGATATGGCTTTCTTTGATCTCTGCAAAGGCCTCGGGATCTTGTTTCTGTAGGGCGAGCAGTTCCTCTAGATTGGAGGCGCCGTGGGATGATGAAGATGGACCTTCGTCAATGTGAATGTTTGTATCAGTATCCTCGCCCTGAAGAGCACGAAGACGTTCAAGTTTCTCGCGTAAAGCTTGAACCTGCACTGCATCCGGAGGGGACTGCGAAATTGATTTCTCTGTAGATTCCGGGTCATCGTTCTTGCTCTTGTCTTTGTCTTGGCGGCTGAGTAGTGTGTGACTGAAATGGTGGCTGAGACGGTGGACTTTCCCTTCTTCAGAGGTAAGTGCACGGGAGTGAAGGGATGTATTCGAACTTGTCCGTGAGAGTCGAACGGCGTATCGATCTACATCCTCGTCTTCACCATCTGCTTCAGCGGTTGTATTGCCATTGGCTGATGAACCGGATGGTTCAAGGATGGTAGAATCATTAACGGTAGATAGATTGGGAGACCCTTCACTTGAGCGGTTTGTGGAGGTCTCGTCGGGTATGCGGGTATCCGGGAACTCATCTTCAAAACGCTGGATCATGCGTTGAAGTGTCATGTCAAGGAAGTGGAGTCGGCCTATTTACGACGATTTAGTTGTTTTTCTTTCATTGTAAAATTATGTCAAACGCAGGCAAAAGAACAAAATACATACGGTAGTTTAGATCATTGCCTGCCCGGTCCTCACGGACCAAAGCAGGCCGCAGCCGAAGACGGATCTTCCTCGCAGAGTTGAGTAGATCTCTTGACATATCACGAGGTTTCTTGGTCACGCGAACATGACTAAGGCGACGATATGGTGTAGAAGTGCCGCTAGTAGTTGGGGACTGGTCACCCAGAACATCTTCGACGGCGGTGTAATCGGAATTACCCAGGCAAATCCCCAGTGCCTTAACAACTCCAGTGCCACCAATAACATAGTCATAATCAGAAGTGACTTTTGAATCATCAATGTCCCCGTTTGCATCGTCGGCGTGGCCAACGAGATGTTCCAAAATATCGGGCACGGGAACATCCCTGACAGCAGCCTGTGAATCAGTTGATGAGGATAGCTCCTCCTTCAACTCGCCGTATTGGAGGTTGCGAAGGGAATAAGCCACTATCTGAGACGCGAGAGCCTTGACGACCTCGTTATTCTCCGGAGTGGGAACATCGATATCAATGGCGATGATATTCCGCGATATGCGGGCCGCTGACATAAAGGACGCATACAGTGCACAAGCTTCCTCCTGGGCTTCGGGAGTACTTGCAGACGCCAGGTCCTCAATAGCCGGGTTCTCAAGGATGTTGATATGGCAAAGTTTAGGACAGTCGGGTAATATCTCAGCAAGGGCAATGGCATGCTCTGAACTAAGACAGACGTCCGCAAGGTGTATTCGTCTCAGCTCCTTCATCTGTGGGAGATATCTTCGTAAAGTTCCCAGGGAGTCAGGCTGTGTGACGAACAGGTCTCTGTTATGTGATAGGTCGATGAAGCGGAAGTTGGGTAACAAGGTCAGTCCCTGCATGAGTGAGCAGAGCGTTTTAGGCGTTAGAGAGCAATCCGCTAAGCTCAGGGCAGTCAGGGGGAATGACTTGTCAATAGCGGAGGAGAAAAGGCCCATGTGAGCCTCTAGCTCGTTGCCGCCTAGATCAAGACCCTCACATTTACCACCCTGGAAGTAGTTGATGACATGTTCAAGTCCCTCCTTAGTGAGGCCGTTATTAGCTAGGCCGAGTCGGCGCAGTCCCATCGATCTAGCAGCTTCACTTATTTTTCGCACATCTTCAGTCGATGGTGAGCATTCGCTAAGCACGAGTTCTTCGAGCCGTTCACCGCCAAAGCGCTCAGCAAGGGACTCCGCGAATACGGTACCAATATTAGCTATGGGCTTGGAAGCTTTGGAGGCGGGTGACGCCGGGCCATTGGTAGGAGGCGTGGGGCGAGGTAAGGGTATACCAGATAGGTCAATACCCTTAAGTGAGCGAGACATGTGTATGAAGAGGCTGATATGTCGCCATCCCTCGGGACCGATTTTTGAATTCCCTTTGAGTGATAGTTTTTCTATAGCTCCATATCGAATTTCCTTTGCCAATGCGGACCCGACATGCTTGTGTTTCAATTGCCGGGCTTGCCTGGCAGCTTCGATAGTCTTGGTAGCCAGGAGACCGCCGAGAATTACTCGGACTGCTTCGTCGGTCAGGCCACAGTCCTGCAATATCAGTTTCCGGACAGGGACAATAGAAAGCCAATCACTGAAAGTAATAATATCAGTCAGGGTCATGGGGAAGCCAGTCAAGTCCAGGACGGCAACGGTGCCAGGTGACTCGGCCAAAATTGAAGACGGCGAAGAAATCTGCTCGACCAACTTCTTCAGCACGCCTGTCTCTCGAAGCTGACAGCATCGCCGGTATATCCGTAGAGGGTCCGTAGTAGGTTGATCCTGACCTCGCGATGACCGGCGGACTGAGCTTGTCTTGGAAGTACTATTGCTTCCGCTTTCGAGGTTGACCTGTAAGGGGATCGAACCGTTTTCTTCGGCTTGCCTTCTCTTCTTCTCCTTCCGTTCCTTGCGTTCCTCTTCCGAGCGTTTTTTCTTCTCCTGCTTCTTCGTTGGTGGTGGCTTGGATTTATCATCATTGATTGGATGTGAGTCTGGAGGGTGCACAGAGCCGTTACTTGCAGGGGTATTTAAAGATGGTGATGACGTTGCTTGAGATGCATGTCCCGTTGCATGCTTTAACGTAGTGCCTTCTTCGGCCTCTACAGCCTTGGGGTCAGGTTTCTTCTTGGTATTGCGTTCCTCGTCACCTTCAGACCTTCTTTGAGTCCCTGCAATCTCAACATCCACACAAAACGCCACACGTCGCAGTTTTGCTTGGTTGAGTTCTGGAATCTTGCAACGGTCCCGATCCGCATCAATATTCATCACTCGCCTTGGCCATACCCCGCCATTGGGGGCGTAGTTAGAGGATAGCTTGCCCAGGCCAGTTCCTCCGGACGAAGACAGTTTTCGGAATGCGTTATGGAAGAATGAAGGGTGGCTGCTCTTTGGAGAACCGCTGGCGAAAGAGCTGGAACTTTCTCCTGATTTATCGGCATCTTTCGGCGAGTACGCAGCACCAAACGGGTTTATCGAGTCGGAAGGTTGCTGCTGCCGACTGTTTGATGGCGACTCTCTCATATGGCTCTGAGATGGAGGCGTAGAGCCAGAGGTGAACTTGGAGCTAAGCGTGGAGATCCAGGAGTTTCGCCGAGGCATGAGCTTCGGCGGTGTTGGTCTGAGGGTTGCGTTTGTGCTGGTGACTGTAGTTCGACTTGTTCCCGTAAGAGGGACTGCGCTCGTCGTAGTGATGTTTTGGGCAGGTGTAAATTCTGGGGAAGCGCCCTGGCCCTGCTCTTGGGTTTGGTTATGATTCTGGTTCTGGCTCGGTGGAGAAAGCGACTGTTGTTTTGAGGACTCATTGTCGGCGCTTTCGGATGGCGATGGTAATGGTTTGGATAACGACGATGCTGGCACTGGTCTCGGGGCCGAGGGCGAGGCTTGTCCATTATGCCCATTAGTAGTTTTGGCAGCGGCATCGTTTTGCGGAGTAGCAGTGCTGTCGGGTGCCGGCTGTTGCTCATTTGGTTTCTGCTGAGCAGGCCGTGATGGTGTGTTTTTGGCTCGACCCGCATTATCAGCTATACACCGGTGTCAGAGGTGACCTCATATCGTATATATTGTCACTATGTCTCGAGTAGGAAAGAGAATAAACGTACCCCGCTGAGAATGATGGAGCCAGCTCACATCGACGGCTTCAGCGCCGCCTTCCATTGTGTATCAAAGCGAAATCGAGTAGCGATGTGTGAAGTAGTGGTCAAACGTCCCAAACCCCGAAAGAGTCGGCCAACTTATCTGTTTGCGCTTGGTATGAGCGGGAGGCAAATATGTCGAAAGTATTATTATGTATGCGGTACACGACAACCGTAAGTCGCCTTTCCAAGGAACAAGCAGAAGAAAAGACTCAATAAAAAGAAAAGTAAGGAAATCCGCCCAGAAGGTCGATTGCGCCAGGAAAGACGGGGTTGACCGCGATGCTGATCGAAAACGGTTGAGTAGTGAGTGTCGTGTGTGTGTGTGCGTAGATCGTGAATTTCTCTCACAGCGGTTTCCGGCGGGAATGTTCCATGGACAGGCGAGCGAGGGAACGGTAGGTCATTGTGAAGGAAGCAAGCCGATTGAAGCGTGTAGGGCCATCAGGCAAATATAACTACCAGCATGAGAGCGAGAACGCTGTGCGAGCGTATATAATGTGACTGTGCTGCCCTTGTGTCCTCCCTCCAGCGGCGAGAATCAAGAGTGGGAAAACAGGTGTACCTCCGTCGCAGGGCTGATTATATGTATCTCTCGCTCGCTCGCTCACTTTTCCTCCCGCAGAGCCCAGACGACGGCCCAGGATTACAAAGCGGCTGATGCACAAGTTTCTTCCGGCTGTGGCATGGCAGTTAGCCTAAGTTTAATAAGTTTCGCTTGTACCAGGTGAAGACGGGTCTGGTCTGCGTCTTGCTGCATCCATCTCCTTTCTTTTTCCTCGTCTTGCAGGATGGGATGGGATGGGATGGAGGAGTGTGTTTCTTCGCGATTGATTCGTGACTGACTCTGTAGTGACCTGACCTGGCGTCCGTTTTTCTGTGGGGGAAATGGGAACCCGGATGACGATGGCGAGCGGAGCGCCGGGGGGAGGCTATATCAGCATCTTCCCTGTCCTTAATTGGGCCGGCTCGAGGTGATGTGTTCGGTCGGTGGCTGCTATTGACGCCGTTGACGTTGTTGTTGATGTCGTTTGCTTGTTTCTCGTTGCTGCTGTTGAATGGAAAATAGTCAAAAGGGAGAAAAGTCGATGTTGCGACGAGGTCGTCAAAGTATCCACTTTGGGAAAAGCACCGAGATCGCGTGACTTGTGAATATCGATAAGAAGACGACGATGAGGACGACGATATAAAAAATAGGAGAAGAAGAGTCTACGTGAGAGTCGGCAGTGCATAGTCTTATTCCATGGCTGGTCATAGTAAAGAAGATCATGTCATTATTCCCATTCCGTCCGCCAGGTCATAAGAAGTAGAGCAAACACCGTTAAAAGAAAAAAAGAGGATTGAAAAAAGGATTAGAATACACTCAACACCAGATGCATTTTCCCATTTGTATTTTTGTTGCTGCTAACACACGATGGTCAGGGTGAGGAGTGCTGGAGAATGAGAGAAAAAGGAGAAGATGTTTATGCGAGCTCGCGGATCTTTGCCTCGACACGGGCTCTCTTCTCTTCTTTGGAAAGCTTAGCGGTTCTGTACTTCTTGCTCTCAGCCTTCCACTCCTCCTTGCTCTTCTTGGGGCCGGCTTCCTCGTCCTTCTTGAAGGGGTCCTCGCGGATGGCAGCGTGGGCGTTGGTGTACATCTCCTCGAGCTCACCGGCATCGAGGTCGTTCTCGAGGTACTTGCAGAACTGGCCCTGGTAACGCTCCTCGTCGTCGTCGGCAAGACCCTCCATGTACTCGGCAACGTGGCCGCCGAAGATGTACTTGCGGAGGGTCTCGGTGTCGAGCTCCTTGCTCTCGATGTCGTAGCCGGGAAAGCGGCTCTCGGAGTGGGGAACGAAGATACCGCCGTCAGAGGCACCCTTCATGGCAGCGAAGACACGGGCACCAGTGGAGGTACGGTGAAGACCGACGTCAAGGACGGCCTTGAAGGGGCGGCGGGTGCCATCGTCGGTCTCGGCGGCCTCGGTCATGGTGAACTCACCATCTGCCTCCTCGACACCGGTGAAGTCCTCGTCCAGGCCGAGCTTCTTCAGGGTGCGGCGGGCAAGCAGGAGACCAGTGGCATAGGCGGCAGACCAGTTGGTCAGACCGTTCTTGATGCCATAGCGCTTGAGCTCGTGGGAGTAGGCACAGGCAAGGACCTTGTCTCCGGAGATCTCAGCAGTGACAATCTGGGTGATGATGTCGCGGTTGGTGAAGCGGACAACCAGGCGGTACTTGGGCGAGTTGTACTTGTTCTTAGCCTGGGTGATGAGACGCTTGCGGGCGTAGTAGTCGGTCTTTCCCTGGCGACGGCGCTTGAACTTCGTCTGGAAACGACTGTACCAGGTAATTAGCACTTCTCCCTCTCTTCTGTCTGTGTTCTCTGGCTTCTATGACTTACCTGAAGTATGGGCGGTTCTTGACAAGCTTGGTGAAAGGCTGTAAAGAACATCGCGAGTCAGCAATTTGCGCTTCAGACTGCTCGTCTCCGAAGCATCTTGCAGGACTCTAGCGACTCGACGACGAGAAGAGAGTCAAGGATCTCTAAAGCAGTCACTTACCATCTTGACGGCTGCTCACGACTTTGCTGCTGGTACTGCTGGTCTTCTGTTGCTGGCGTTGGTTGCAGGAAGTTCGTCGGTTGCTTTTTTGTGTGCGAAGAAATTTATTTGTGGGTTTTTCCTTCGCCAAAATTGCAGCAGCCCAAAACAGCCGGGTTGGCGACGACGAGGCCAACACAAGAGACTCAATACAGCATAACAGATAGTTATTCATGATCAGGATGACATCTTGGTTACTCTTCTGTCGGTCTATTCATTTAGATACTGCTTTATGACTCGGTGGTTGATGCTGTCTGTTCAGCCGTTATTCTATCAACTACACTCTCATAGTTGCCAACATCTTATATCTACTACACTCAATATAGCAAACCATACCATCAATCAACATTCTATAACATCGGCTTATCCTCCAGCAAAGTCAAGCCTGTCAGCTTCTCCAGCTCCTTCACTGCCTCCCTCGTCCGCCCCAAATCGACCTTGATCGTGCCCATCCCGGCCTTCCTCGCCCACTTCAGATTCACCCCAATATCATCCAAAAACACCACCTCTTCAGCCCGAATATCCCCTCCCGTTATCCCCTTGGCCCTCCTAGCATCATTGATTTCCCGTAATGCAAGCTCGTAGATTCTTGGATCCGGTTTGCGCAATCCCGTGTGCGCGCTAGAGATGAAAAAGTCGAAGAATCGCTTCACCTGCTCGCCTGCATGGTCGGAGGCCTTGTCGAGCTTGCTTGTATCATCTGGTATGATGGTTGTATTTGATAGAGCGCCCATGACGAACAGGCCGGAGTCCTTTAGTTTCTGTAACGCGGGAAACATGTATGGATCGGGGCTTTGGGCGACTCGCATCATCTCCCAGAAGAGATACTCTGCATCAACATTAGGTATATCAGGTATCTTCTTGTCATTCCCGATAGTAGCTTGCTTGGATGACTTCTCGAGGAACTGTTTCCACAGATGAAGATGGCGGAAGTCACTGTTGAACGACTTGAACCAGGCCGCGTCTAGGGGAACTTCACCTCGTTCCAGCCGATGCCATGCCCCGTCAGGCGAGGTGTGCTGTATACTGTAATTGATCCATCCAATAGGTATCTTGTTGGCCTTTTCGTAGTCTAATATGGCTTGAAATGGAGATATGACCTGGTAACCAGCCTGTTAGCTGTTGGCCTTGCACTAGGGGTAGGATAAGACATACACAGACGCCGCCAACGTCAAAGAGAAGGGCTCTCGGTCGTTTTTCCATCTTGCCTGGTTTAAAGAGTCACTGGCCAGCAGTTTACTCTGTTTCTTTTATATAGAGGGTATATATATATGAATATCTATCTTGCGAGAGAAGTAGCCGGAGCAAGCTGGGTAGAAGAAAACGAAGCTTGATTATGCCGAGGCTCATTTTGGTGGTCCTAACAAATGTCATCTACAAAGGCGTCTGCCTCCTACGACTACAGAGGGTCAAGAACACATCTACAAAGACGAAGTAGTAAGAGCATCAGATCATTTAGCCAGTGAAATTTGTCAATTCCCCTTCTTGTCGCCAGTGTAAAGAAATTAATGCATAAACAATCATTACAAGCATTAGGAGATTAGGAAATATTCGTCACTAGAGCTCCCTCCAGGATTAGATCCAACGCCATGCCAGGGAAAAAAGGATGCTCTCTATCGTAACCCCATGGGTATCTTCATAGCGCCCCTAACGCCTCCGGTTCGACTACCGGGAAAAAAGAGAAAAAGGAAAAGAAGAGGGAAGAGAGAAGAGAGAAGAGGGAGAAGGGAAGAAGGAACAAGCACAGGCGGACGGAGGGGGAGAGCAATTCGAGCTCCCAGGCTACTCGACGCCTGGGGGAGCATCCTTAAGGATCTCCCATCCCCACTCCTCCTCTGGCTTCTCTGGGTCCATTCCCAGAGCGTTGCGGTAGGCGCGCACTTCGTTCTGCAGCCCCGCTATGATACGAAGAGGCAGCTCCTCCTCCTCGCACCGCAGACGGTAGGCGGTTCGGATCATCTCGGCGCACTTCATAGTCTGCGCGTGCCAGTAGTCGCGATCGAGACGAGATGCCAGGTGCGCATCTCGTTCGGCTTGCAGGAGATCGTTGTAGCGGCGCTTCTGGGAGAGGAAGTGGCCTTCGTTGTTGCAGCAATAATTGCGGATCTGCTCGACCATAGTTCCAACTGCGTTCTCATACTCGGCAATTAACTTCATGTTCTCAACCTGCTCGTGGCGGAGTGTCTCAACGCGGCGTTTTTCTCTTGCAAGGGCACGCTCGAGCTCGGCAATGCGTGTGGCTATCGAGAATTTAGTTACTGCATTTCAAATATGACAATAAAATATATGGTTCGTACCAGTGATCTCTCCATTGACTTCTTGCAAATTTGGAGTGGTTCCTTCAGCTGCAGCACGACGCTATACAGTTCAAATTAGCATGCACTCTTTGTTAGATTGAGAGGAGGGAAGAGAGCATACAGCAATATCTTCAGCACTCTTGATAATGCCGCTGGTCAAGTCACGGTTGTTCTTCAAGACCTCGCTTAATTCGTTCACCATTGCATAGAGATGGTTAAGGTCCATCTGGTGTCCAGCGTTCATTGGGAAGGAGGCATTCATCGCCGGCATTGCTGGAGTACCGTTAATCATGGCGGGGCTGGGGGGAGCAGAGTTGCTATGACGAGGAGCAGACATGGCTGCGGGGTTGCCAGACGCGTTCACGGTGTTGCTGTTGTTGTTTGAGTCAAAGAGATTCGTGAACAAGCCAGAAGTAGACACTACACTGGCAGAGCTCGACGGAGCAGCGGCGGTAGAAGTGTTGTTGTTGTTATTGTTGGTATTGGTATTATTAGCTACGTTTGGACTGCCTTGGTTGACAGACATGCTGAAAGCTGCAACAGCAGCGTTGATAGCAGAGAAGTCCTCGTCTTCTTCCTTGGGCTCGGAACGTGGGATAGCAGGCTGCTCTGAACGTGGGATACCGAGTATTTTCTCGCGGAAGCTGATCAGGTCCTCGTTCGTAACTGAGGTCCGGTTTCTGCGATGACGGCTCGCGCGTCGTTGGCGGGCGGCGAGAACGGGCGAAACAGGAGTGTCAGAATCAGATACTAGATGATCAACAAGACGGTTATCGAGTTAGATATCGCGTTCAGGGTAAAGCTGAAGCTGAAGCCAGAGGAGTTTGTTCTCTTCTGCTTGTTCTGCTTTTCTTACCTGCATCTTCATCACCAAAAGGTGAGCGAAGGTTCCGGGACATAATTTCTTCCGTTCCGAAAAGTTACAGTCACGTGAATATCTAGATCAGAGAAGAGAAGTAGAAGAGGAACAAGGATAAAGGAGCAGATATAAAGTTATGAAGGTAATGCAGTTAAAAGTCAGGCTGTAGAGCAAGTGGTTGTAGATGTTGCAGCTGCTTCTTTTTTGTCAAGGTGGGATGTTGTTTTTGTGTGGGAGTTCATCTTCTCTTCCTTTATAGTGAAGCAACAGCAACGACTAAGCGGCAATCTTAGATCACAGGATAGAAGGACAGGGTAGAGACATGTATGGAGAAGACACAAGATTTCATTTTTGATAAATGGACGTATAGGTATCTAGCTGAGCCTATTATACATATAGTTTTCAATATCTAGCTATAAAGAGCATTAGAATATCCACAAGTCCTGAAACAGCAGCTGGATCTATTCGGAAGCCTAGAATATGGTCTTTGAGGAATGCCTTCTACTTCACTAGCATCCTTTCCCCCTGTCAATTGACTCCATACATGGACGGTAAAGGGTGTCTGTCCACCAGCTATATAGTAAACAGCCGCTTGGTGTCTGCTTTCAGATAAAGCTAGCAGGGGTACGTGTGGTATGTCTCCGTTCCCCTTTATTACGTACTGCCAGACCTTTCAGGCCTAAAGTCCGGATTCGCTCTCATGGATTTCCACTTCCTTAGAAAAATCAAACATAAATGACGGATAGTATCTCAGGTCATATCCAGTAGCCTTGCCAGCTTCTCATCTGTGTCCATAATAGCGTCTGGGTCTTTCTCAGGACTTTGATTGTCACTCTGAAGTCTTCCAACTTTGCTTGCTACCTTGGCCAGCAGCATCCTCATACGGTCTAGTTCGGCTCCAAGCTCACCATCCCTTGTAGCAAGATTAGGCTGGATGGTATTCATGGGATCCTCAAATGGTTCCAGCAGGCTCTTTAACCGCTTATATTGAAGTAGTCTGTCTTCCTTTTTCTTCCGTTCTGCATCAAGGCTGATAAGTCTCTCTCGAAGCAAGTTGTATCTTTTCACGTTTTGTAAGCACCATTCGTTGGTAGGTATACATATATATATACTGTGAGACAAGTAGACCTTACCGAGATTTATCCTCCTCGTTCATTCCGTCCTCCGGCCACTCATCCGGCAGTCGAGATATATTTCTTTGTTGCTAATCAGCACATAAATACATATATAAATACGTATATGAGTTGCAAGCTTTAGCCTACCTGCTGTTCGTCAAGTCAGCACCCTTGTCGATGTCAGGCTGTCGCGAGCCCTCTTCGCCAAACTCGGGGTTGATGGAGTTCCAGTAAAGCCGCTCAATCTGCTGGGAGACATGATGTATGGCCTGTGTCGAGAAGACGGCACGGTTATGCTGTTTCAAAAGCGTGTTGACTGCATTTTGATTCCGTCAACAAAGGCTCGCTCGTAAACAGGTAAGAAAGACAAAGAAGCGCATTCCCATGCAAGCAAAGATGCACGAGCAAATGAGAGAGTATGTACGACAGGGGCTTCTTTACATTTCTGCAGTACCTCGCCGATGGCCTTGTCGCCTATGCCGTCCTCGACTACTGGGCCGTATTCGTGCCAGTCAGGGGACGGGTTGAGCGGTGCAGAAAGCACGCGAACTTGGTCACGAAGAAAGCCGAGTTTGGCTTCGGAGATGGTCCTTGAAGAGCCCATATCGAACGAAGGAAAAACTTTCACAATACCAGCATGTAAATATAACAAACTGTACATATATTCCGAAACCCTTGTAGAACTAACTGTTTCCAAAGCTATACTCGTTGTTCATAACCACGAAGCGCGCGCAAAGTTGTGCTGACAAATCGGGCACCCCTTCAAAATCTTCTTAAAGCAGCTAGAGAGCTACCTAGTACGGAGTAGGCAGGCTACCTAAGTTATTGTACATCAACGCCAAGCAATCGTTTGCCAAGAAAACTACTCCGTACGAAAAACCTTGGTGCTCGGAGTATAAAACTGTGTGGTCAACTTGCCTGCTACTAATTAGAACTTTTTCTCCGAGGGCCGACAATACTTTGGGCCGCCTACTAAGTATACTAGGAAGAGTGCACATTGCCGATTCTCATTAAAGCAAGGCGATTTTTTGGTACAGTTGAGACTAGAGGCTATCCTATCAATAGTTAATAATGTGTCAAATTGATTGCTCAACGATAAGATATTCCTAACAGCTTTCCCGTTGCTCAACCTAGCTAGTAGTTCGTTAACTAGATATCAGAAACAGTGTGCGAAGAATATAGCTTTACTCTATGCAGTTATGGCAAGCGGTCTGGACCGCATAACTACCTACCTAGGTACCTAAGGTAGTAGAGGTTGCCGAATCAGCTGATCTTGGCGAATGCTATCGAACTACACTATGTACAATGGAGATTGCACTTTGCAGGCGTATGTTTTTCAATCTACAGAACTGTTAGATACATGGGGACTGGATCTTCTTAAAGCTGTGGTTTTTATTTATTGCTGAATCTCATCATTGTGATGCCTTTGTTCGTTGCCACTATCAGGAACCAAACATGAGAGTAGCGTCTCCATACTAGTTAATATACATAGCAATAAATATATTTGCCTATCGGTAAAAATAAATGCGTCCATATCGCCGAGCATATCACTCATAACCTTCCCAATCCGTCGTATCAAATCAAATGTGTAGGTTTGTTGCCAGTTTTGTGAGCGATATGGCCGATCACAGCCCGATCATGGTTGACGTTGAGGCTGGTGGCCTAATGCTCGTTGACTTGCTCGGGATAGGCCATTATGTGGAAATGGAATTAATTAGGGCGTGGCGGGGGCAGCCCGGGTTTTTTTAGCCTTGGTCCTCTCCCGCGGCTCGGCGGTGGCAAGGGAGGAGAAATGTCTCGGGCCTCCAGGATGCCTAAGGTACCTGTGCCATTACTATAATAAAAATATGAGAATTTTATATTAAATATTAAGTTGATGCATAGAAAATATAGGGCAATACCTTTTCACTGGCATGGTTAGCACTTGACATACTAGGAGAAACAGTCCAATCAAGAGGGCAAACCATCGTAAAGCAGCTTGGTTCGCCATTTTCTCTTGACAGCTCCTGGTAACTTGAGATGCACTGGAGTCACAGGTCTTTCAATTGGGTTGATAATAGATGGTAGTAATGGGGAAAGATGGCTTCGGGGTGTTGTATTCGCAAGTTTTTTGTCTATCATTGCCACCCTTTTATATATTGAAGATTTCTAGGTATCATGACATATTCTATAATTATAGTATATCATTTCTAAGCAGAGGTGTCATACAATGCAAGATGTGCAGTATAAGGGTGCTGACACCATGATTCCCCCTGCATACAGTATATGTATGATAAATCTGCCTTACAAACTCGACTCTCAGACGATAATTAGAGTAAAAAATACCTGGTACCGTACTTAAATCTGAGCAGGTCTAAGTAGTAGCACATATTTGATAACTACTGAATTAGTAACTACCTATCATTGAAATTATTAAGGGTGCTGCAGCATAACTACTTCCAAGGTCTCCATATATATAAGTTTTGTAATATGTATATGTTTTGTAACTATACATATAGCCATTTTAAATAGCCACTCATTCCTATGGCGGTTATGCAGGTGCTCATTACTTGAGCCAACAACTAGTTAACCACCTAGTTGACAAGTTTGAGAACCAACCAAGCTCTAAGGTACTCCGTAAATTACACTTTCGGGTCGACCCACATTGGGGTAACTGGATGATGTAATCTGACATCCAAAGGTCCAACCCTTGACAGCACGTTGGATAGCCACAGTACTAGGCCAAAGATTTGTGCACCCCCAACCAAAATGTACATACGCCAAAGTACGCAGGTAATTTGAAATAATTAGTAACTCAACCACCCTATGCTAAAATTTAATGTAACAAGGCTTAAATTAGAGAGGAGAAGTGCAGGAATGCATGGGTATTGCTTTACTTTAGCGCATACAGTAGCGTGGATGAGTAAGTAATTACGACTCTCTTATTGGATAGTAATAAATCAATATCAATATCCTTTAAACTAACTACTAAAGCATTTAAATGGCTCAGAACAGCCTGCTCAAACAAACACGGCCGTAAAAGATATAACATCCCAATATGTATATGTGTGAAGAGACTATACTAATTAGGCTTAGCTCCTATTCCTAATATTACAAATACTGATTGATTATCGAAAATACGCTTTTCGGGCTATCAGAAGGTGCTGTTTGACGTAACGCTAGTACTAAATAAATTACGCGCTAAAAGTGTACAGAGGGAAGGCTGGAAGCCCCAGAAACCTGTTGGGATTTTAATAGGGCCAGAGAAGGCCTTAAAGCCTGAGGACACGGCGGAGCTATCCTGTGGCCGGTACTTAACCTAGATGCCTGCGCTCTTTAACCCGGTTTAAGCAACCATCCCAGTCATAGCTACGCAGCGTTCCTTAGTTACAGCCTTGCGGGCTCCTTTTAGTGATAGGCCAAAAGAACCAAATCATTGTCCACCCTGAAATACTATTTCTTCCAAACCCAGGCGACTCTCTTCCTGTACCTATAACCACAACCACCTAACATCCCAACCCTCTTCATATGAAACTGGCCAAGGTTAGGCGGCTTTTCCAGAAATTCAGGTCCCGTCGTCGACCAGCCTCCCACCTGCCAACCGAGGATGAGCCCACTGAGGATGGGCCTACTGAGGGTGAACCTGCTGAGGATGAGCCTACCAAGAACGAGCCTACTGAGGACCGCCAAAATAGTCGCTTTCTAACTTTGCCGACAGAACTCATTGAAATGATTGTCTCTTTTCTGGAGTCTGAGGATCTGTGTTCCCTTCGGCTTACGTGTAATGCCTGCTATAAACGGACCCAGCATAGCTTTGGTCTCCTCTTCACTACATTGAAGACGGACTTCTCGGATGACAGTCTAAACAAGCTCCTGGCTATATCTCAAGACCTGCGTTTAAAGCATCATCCCCAGACTCTCAAAGTGACAATCAATTACTCCCGCGGGCGAAGGAGGCTAGGCACCGGCATCCCATGGGAGCGAGGCCCTACCGGCCGTCTTACGGTCCCTCAACCTCCGGTACAGAAGTTGCGTGATATCCTGATTGCACTCGTCAACTGCCGGTCATTTGAGATCTGGAACAATGACGGAAGAGACAAGGCCCTCGATCTGATACAGCCCAGCGAATCTCTTAGGATTATCTTCTACATCATTGCCGAGGCTGCCCTACCGCTCAAATCCCTTACCCTTGACTATGATGGGGGCCATGGGATCGATGAGCAATACTTGGACTTCCAGGATCTTCGGAAAGAGGGATTCCTCTCCTCGACGTCCAATCTTCAAAGCCTCACGCTCCAGTGCTACCTAAGTCTTAAAAATGTCAACTGGATAAATGAAGTAGCCCGAGCCGCCACCGGCCTGAAAACATTGACGTTTAGCTGTCCGTCTGACCCAACCGAGTATTTTCTCGAGCACAAGTGTTTGAGCGCTCTTGAGCGTGCTCCTCTCCAAAAGATCTTCCTCCGCGGTACTGACTGGCCTACTCCGGAACATTGCATTGATTTTTTCCGATGTTATCGTTCAAGTCTTCGGACTCTTCATCTGCATTTGAACACTTTAAGCAGCCCGGGGTGGTCGGCGGTTTTAGAGGAGCTCAGGGACAATTTCCCTTTATTGGCCAATATCAAATTGTCCACACTAAGAGAGCCTGGCCCCCAGATAAATATCATTGATTTCTACAAGCTCCCTGAAGTGTCTGGCTGTGCGTGCGTGGATTTTTTCTCGTTTGATCAAATTGCCGTGGACCAGCCGGCCCCCAAGGAGTATGGGTCTGAGTTTTTATACGGCTTGAGAGACCGTGCTGACGGACGCATAGTGCAGGCCGTGAAATACAGTGGGCCAGACATGCAGAGTGTTTTGCAACATATGATCAACTCTGCCAGACTTAGTCCACTTTTGATACGCTGGCCTGCCACATAACAGCTCGGTCCTGACTACCGATATCGAAGCAGACGTACAGTCGAGTTTGAACTGGCAGTCTCCATGTCAGTTCGTCATTTTGTACCATATTTAGTTAAGTTAACAGCAATTTCCTATCCAATTCTGTAAAATATATTGTCTTTAGAGAAGGATATGTCTTCAGTACCTGGGTATCAGATTTCCAACGAAAGCTCCAACTCGAGGCGACAACACACACATGCTCCATCACGAAACAAGTACTCCGTAGATAAGTAGGTAACGACGTTGGCGTCGGAGATAAGATGCGTGAGCCTCGCATAGACGGATGAATAGAAGCCAAACGAGGCCGCTCGGATATAAGGAACACGGCGCAACAAGTGTATTTATAATGCGGTTTCGGCTGAGCAGCGGATGCCGGGCGTGTTATTGGTTCGCTGGTGGAGACAAGCGGATCGTGAGGATAAGTTAGCAGGTTGGTTGGTTCGTTAGCGATATGGAGTAGAAGTACGAAGTGAGGAATTGCTGGATAAGTCGGCAGGATAGGGCGTGAGGGTTCCACGGCGGAGCCAAAGTAGGTTGTTGACTTAAATCAGTATATAAGGCGTTGGACGAGGAGATTTCTCGCCCGGTAGTTTAAATGGTATAAGCAGTTATAAAGGCTGCGGGTTTTTTCTTTGATGTTTTGCTTGACCCTTTTTTTTACGAGTTATTGCGGTTAAACTACTGATGAGGTGGTTGAAAGTGACTGACTGTTCAGATGTGACTTCATTATGCGTGTCGGATATTCTTATGACTGCGTGCGTGAGTGTACATGACAGATATCGTGAAGGTAGGTAGGTAGAGAGGTGGATAGATAGGTAGATGGATAGAGGTGGGTTAGAAGGGTATATTGAAGCATGCTAACTCGAGGCTTCACAGGGATAAGAGATGATGCATGAGGAGGGGATGATGATGATGATGAAGGGAAGAGGTATCAATATCAAATACAAAGACGCGAAGGACACAACCTAGGGTCCGTCTGACGAAGAAGAAAAGGAAAAGAATAAAGAAAACGAGAAGAGATGCAAGGAAAGCCAACTATGCGATCCAGAACCATACCTTCTCGAAAACGTTTCGAGGGATCTGCTCTGGCCACTCGACAGCGTCCATGGCTGCCTTGCCGGTGAAGATGTCGGCCTCTTCGGATGGGATCCATCGGGTACGCTTGAAGACCTTCCAGAAGATGAGGAGAGCGAAGTAGAGGGCGATACCGATGTAGGCGGTGAAGAAGGACTGGAAGCGGAATGGCTTGAAGGTGTCGAAGCCGTTGAAGAAGATGATGATGGAGAAGAAGACGAGAGCGACCCAGGCGAGGTAGGGCTGGAAGGGAGACTTGAGGAGGAGGGTGTTGCGGTCGACGCCCTGGGCCTTGAGGGCGGCGTGGAAGCGGATGTAGGCGACCAGCACGCTGACCCAGTTGAAGAGGGATGCGACGGTGGTGAGGTTCTGGAACCAGATGAAGACCTGGGCGGAGCCGGTGCTGGCAGCCATGAAGGTCAGGAGAGAGACGGAGGCAGTGACGAGGACGGCATAGATTGGGACACCCCTGATAATACATGTCAGCACACGAAATGATAACGAAAACAAGGAGGGGAAAAGAGCAAGGACTTACGCCTTGGTGCACTGGAGGAGGAACCGAGGAGCCTGTCGGTTCTGGGCGAGACTAAAGAGATATCTGGAGCCGGTGTACAAGAAGGCGTTACCGGAGGAGGTGGCCGAGGTGAGGATGACGGCGTTGATGATGGAAGGCAGGACGGGGATGGTGGCGCGCTGGATGGCGATGACCCAGGGAGAGGCAGCGGCACCGGGTTCGCCGTTCTTCTGGGCACTGAGCAGCTTGTCGTCGTCGTATGGCACGAGCATGCCGATGAAGAGGGCACCGAGGACGTAGAAGAAGAGAATACGCCAGAAGACTCGCTTGACGGCCTTGGGGATGTTCTTGCGCGGGTTCTCAGCCTCACCGGCGGCACAGGCGACGGACTCGACACCACCGAAGGAGAAGGCAGCGTTGACGAGAGTCGAGAAGAAACCGAGGAAGCGTCCCTTGTCCCCAGTGCCGAAGTACTCGTTCATGGCGCCGGGGTTCTTCCAGTACCTGAAGCCGATGCGGTCGCCAGTAGGACTGCCGCCGAGGTCGACGATGAGGGACATCAGCAGCAGGCCGACGATGGCGATGATCTTGATACTAGCGAAGATGAACTCGGCTTCACCGTAGACGGAGACAGCCCAGACGTTGAGGAAGAGGATGATCGCGGTGACGAGGCCGATCCAAGCAGCGACGTTGATGTCTCGCGATCCCGGCCAGTACTGGATGATGACGGCGGCTGCAGAGATTTCGACACAGAGCGTGATTGCGCATTGATACCAAATCTGCTACTCGTTAGATTTCTTCTCTTTCTTTCAAGGAGATGGTAGGAAGACTTACGTTCCATCCGACAGCGAAACCGACAGCGCCATCGACGTATCTGGCGCAGAACTGGGGAATGGCACCGGGCAGTGGCAGCCAGGTAGCCATCTCACCAAGGGACATCATCTAGACACCGTTAACATCTCAATTCGCAGTGGACTTCAACAATGGGGCGGGAATGGCGACTCACCATGGCGAAGATCGCGAGACCGACAAAGGTGTAGCCGAGCAGCAGAGAGAGCGGACCACCCTGGGTGAGCGCTCGCCCGATACCCAGGAAGAGACCAGTACCGATAGTTCCACCGAGGGCGATGAACTGGATGTGTCGAGATTTCAATCTAGCGCCAATTAGCATCTATGGACGACGTCTGGAGGTGTATTCTGTATAGGAAGACTGGTCGTACCCTCTGGCGACATAGCCGTATCGCTCAGCAGCCTCAGCATCGCCGTAGATGTCAGCGGCCTCTCCGTAGGCAGCGTTCTTGACGTCGACAGCCTTGTGAGGGTCGTTGTCGTAGGCCGGAGCCATCTCTGTCTTCGCGTCCATGGCCTTCTCCATGGCTGCGACTCTTGACTGGAGGAGAGAGCGAGAGGGAGAGAGGACGGTGGTATCGCGAGTGTCCCCAAGGGAAGATTGAGACGGGAGAGAGACAAGGAAGAGGAAGAGGAGGAGGAAGAAGCACAGAACCTGTCGCAGGGGGAGAAGAAGAAGAAGAAGAAGGAAGCCAGCCGTCGAGGCGAGGGTTGATATATTTATATATATGAATATATATATTTCTCTCTCTTATATATATATGGTGGTATATTTATTTATATCAGCCTTCGAGCGGCGTAGAGGGAGCAAGCAATACATCAAACCCTTCTTTGCTTCTTCTGCGTCTTCTTCTCCTTCGCTGCTATGCCTAGTACGGTCCACCCCCGGACTTGACCTTCTTTGCTTCTTCTGCGTCTTCTTGGGATCTGTTTCCCTCCGCTACCAACCAACCGGCGTTCGACGAGCCAGGGATCCAAGAGTCGACGTTCTGACCGGGGGGGCGCTGCTTCGACCCCGGGCGTATCCCCCATATCTCCCCATCTCCCTCCATCTCCATCTTCCTGCCCCCCGTCCCTCCATCCTGGCCCCTTCTTTTGCTGTTCGTCCAATATCGAAGCAGCAGGGCCAGCTTTGTGGGGAAGGCAAAAGTCAACCTCCCTCATCTCACCTAACGCTAACACTAAACACTAACCTCAACTCACACTAGAACTAACTTATTATTATTATGCTTGAGGTGAACTAAAACTAAAAGGCGAGCCAGGAGGCACAGCGAAAGTACAGGATACCTGGGACTAGTTCGGGCTTCTTTGCTTTTTTCGTCTCTTCTTTTTCGCCTGCCGAGAAGAGGAGGAGGACGGGGGGCAGCCCAGCCAACCAGCGGCGAAGGAAGAGAGCTGACGATACGAAGACGAAAGATGAAGGATGGCGAGACAGAAGACGAAGAAGAAGCAGATGATGGTGAAGAAAAAAAGAAGACGAAGAGAACAAGAAGAAGCTGACGCCACCGCAAAGCCATCGTCGTCGCGGCCGAGCTTTGTTCATAGGGCGTTCGGCGACGCAGATCAGAGTAGGACGTACTCCGTAAGTAACGCCCATCGCCTGTCGTGCTGCACCAGCTGGTTACGCCGCGCAGAGACAGCCCGACAGACAGACAGACAGGCAGCTCCAGCTCCAGCTCCAGCTTCATCTGTCGTTACGAGAGGACAAGAGAGAGACAAGAAAATGAGGACCAAGGACCAAGATGCGCCAAGGTGACGGTATATATGTAACTCGATGGAGATGACACTCCATCCATCTATCCAGAAGGACGCAGGCAAGCATATCAGAGCAAGCATCGAGCAGGCATCAGGCATCCCGCGACCGACCTGTCCAACCGTCACACTCTGTCTCCCCATGTCTCCCATGTCCACCTTGTCCACCTGGTCGACTCTTCCCACCGGTCCAAGCGAGAGGAGAGAGGGTGTCGTCAAGCGAGCCTCTTCCGCCCCTGACAAGGACCATCCCCCCCAATCCCTTCCCGCATCGCCTGGAAATATCCGTTAACCTCTGACTTCGTTGCTACGGCTGACCTTCCTTGAACCGAGAAGAAGGAAAATGAGAGGGAAGAAGCAGAAGAAGAAGAAAGAAAACCCGCCAGCCAGGGGATGCACATAATCTCCCGTCCTCAAAGTTTCCAGCTAGGGGAGCGAGCAAAAGCAAAGCACAAGCAATGCAAAGCAAGAGAGACAGCCCAACGGATAACTATACATTAACCATCCAGGTTAAATTTCTCCTAGACTCACCCTGGCCGCCCGGGGAAGATGGATATCAGCGGGTAACAAGTAACATCCCACTAGATAGACGAGGAGAGAGACCGCGAGAGAGAGACCAAGAGAAAGACCAAGAGAGGAGAACACGCGAGGCGCATCATCCACTCATCCATCCGTCCACCCATGCATTCAAACCGCCTTCTGGAAGGGTCAAAGTGCTCCTCTCTTTTTACTCCTTCTTACTCTACCTACCTTACCTTTACGCTGACCCCGGCCACCCTCGGCCGTCGTCCTATCACTTTCCCATCCTCTCTCTCTCCCTTCTGCTTCTCCCTCCATGGCCCGGCGCAGATTGCCCGAACAGGGAATATTCTGGAAATCAGAGTCAACCACGTTAACGAACGTCAAAGGTTAACTCACTTACATATGTACATTAGGTACCTACGCTACGTAGCCTAACCTGCCTATGCCTAGCTCGCCCGTCCGGGGGTCGAGTTAAATGAGCCATTTTGTTTCTCTGTCTCTCTCTATCTTGCTTGCTTGCTTGCTTGCGTCGTCGTGTCCCCGCTGCTTGGGTGACGATGGATGCTCGTTGCCCTTCCACGTCGATTTTAATCTTATGTTAGTTATATTCATATAGGCTTTTAGTCTTTAGCCTATCAAGCTATCTGTCTCTAGCTTCAACTCTGCCTGTTTTCTAGCGTTAGTCAACTAGTTAAGAAAGTCGATGATGTCTGTGGCTAAGTTGAGTACGAAGTACTTGCTACTTACCAGCGGAGATACCCGTTGCCATCGTTTCTGTCTCTTCTCTTCTGTCTCTCTTTTTTTCCCTTCGACGCTTTTTTCTTCCTTAGCTTCCTTCCTCTCGACTGGTCGGGCGAGTCTGGGGTTACCTCCGCTAGTCTTATCATGTAACATGGATGGACCCTTGCCATCTCACCCTTGCCATCTCCTACCCTTGTCCTTGTCCTTGTCCCTTATCCCTACCCTTGACACTTGACAACTCCAACTTCCACCCATGTCCGGCATATGCTTAACAGGCCGTGCTATTTTCTCCCGTAAGTTCGTTCTCTCCGATCTTGGCTTGCTTTTTGGGCCTTGCTTCTGGAAGCCCTTTACGTAACCTTCTCTAAGTATCGTCTCTGCGTGGTCCCTCTGCGTGTTCTTCCTCCCCCCGGGCCACTCACTCCATTTCCATGCTCTTTAATCCTCCCTTCTATGCATGGGGCACTAGGGGGCGGCCTTGACCTTGAACCACTAGCATCCTGCTACGCTAACTGCTGCGCTGCGTCTTCTCTTCTGCTTCTTCGCTTCTTCCATCAAACCTTGCTAGTTCGTTGGTTAGCTAGTTGCCTTAACTATATACTTATCAGTGGAGCTAGCCCTTTCACCAACCAACCTCCTACCTTACCTTACCTTACTATGATCGTGATAATAATAATGGCATTGTCTTCTTCTTCGTCTTCCTCTCGTCGGGTAAAAAACCGAAAAAGAAAAAGCCCAAAAAGCAACAACTTGATACGTCGGAAAGTCACATGTCAGGCTATTATGTAAGATCCTCGTATCAGGTGGAGTTTTTAGGTGGAAGAAGAAGGTGAAGAAGGTGAAAGAGAAGCAGCTGAAGTTAGGGAGGAGAGTAAGAGAAGAGACATAGAGGTAGTAGTAGAGGTAGTACTAGTATGGTAGAAGATGGAGATATAAGATAGACGCAGCAGAAGGTCGTAGGGAGATGGAGTCTACTTCCTTACTGCTGGCGTCGATCAGATGAGGATGAAGATGAGATCTCGCATCCCCCGCAAAACTTCTTTCCTCCTTCTCCATCTCCATCTCCATCTCTCCAGGTTTTCTCTCCAGGTTTTTTCTCTCCGGGCTCCATCAGCAGCTCCATCGCAGAGGAACCTCGCCTCGCCCAACCCAACATCTAGCCTACCTAGTTCCAACGACCCAATCTAGCGACCGAAGCTGTCAAAGGGCGTGAGATCGGAGTCTAAGAAAGGCTGCTAATAATAACAGTTGACTTGACTTGCGCTTCCCCATGGGCCATCATCGCATGGCAGAGGCGACCTTTCTTTTCTTTTCTTCTTCTTTTCCATGCCTTAACGGAGGACGCTTCAACATCACTCACTAGTGAACTGATTTTTTCTGGCGCGACTTTTTTAGTGTAACGGGCCTTGTTCTCGCCACCGTGATGGACTTTTCATCATTGTCTTCTTTTCTTCTTCGTCGTCGTCTGGTTCGGATGACTTGTTAGTGACTTGTGTGGTTGACTTGCATGGGAGAAAAAGGAACAAAACCATGTTCGGGTTCGCTGCTCATGCGCGCGTTGCACTTTGCCATCGCCATTCAGGCTAACTAAGTGGTTAGTCAGTGAGTTCGTTGACCGGACGGCACCGTGGCATGACATGGCCATGACTTGACCCATGGATGCGCCATGCATGCTACCCTCGACCGGCCTTCGTCTCCTTCCTTTCTTCGACTCTGACTTTTTCTGCTTTTTCTCTTTTGCACTCAAACTGATCCACGTGATTGACTATCACGTGTCAGCTGAGGCTCTTTAGGCTGTTTCAAGGCCAGCAATACAACAAGTTATAAACATCTGGAACAAGGAGAAATATAACCCGTTACTTAAAATTAAAGATCATCGTCTCCTCCATCGTCATCAAAGTGGGAACCCAAGGCCGGTATTTCTCCTCAAAAAAACCCCATCAGGAAGCGCGCCAGTGCGAGATGAAACCGCTGCTCATGACCGCCCCGTCCCCCATCCCCCCAGATACCGATACCTCCACCACAAGCGGCTCGTAGCGAAGCCCCAGTCCATTCTCATTCCCCTTCGAACCAGACCCGAACAAGTCCTCTCGCCTCCCGTCGCCCTGTCAATGACATCTCCACCCTTCTCCTCAGCCTCCTCTTTCTTCCGTAGTCACCACTTCTAGCGCTGGCGCAATTCCCTTTGTTCTTCGGCTTAGAAAAGGTCATACGCCCAACACGCCGATATACTCCGTACGCTTCGTGAGCGGTTCAATTCGGGCAGTTTCATATCATTAAACTACAGCCAGTGTAGCTCTAGGCCCATTACACCAGGACAAAATTTACCTGGTATCAAAGTAGACATTTCGGTGTACTTGCTTAGGGTTACCCCATATCTATCCAATTATACCCACGTCACGTGAACATAACGTCGATAAGCCAATCAGAAGTAAGAGATCTTAAGCTCAAGTTTAATATGTCTCAACTGATTCTGTAATCAACGAGTT